TGGGCCGACCGGAGTGGATTCACTCAAAGGATGATCTTTTGTAACATTCGTGAATAGTTCATTGGCTGTCGACCCTTGAATGCATCCTGCAAGCGCATAAGCAGCTCCTCTCCGCGCATGACGTAAATCCGTTTGAGAACCTCCACAGCGGCGGCCCTGAACTATGTTTTGCGGAGCCGAGGTCACTACCGAACGCCATCCCCGCAGGACTCCAAACTCCGGACCTGACCCCTCATCTCAACATGTATTCTGCTGAGGCTGAAGTCAGCAGAAGAATTATTTTGCAAGAGGACTATTAGGAACTCATCTTAACACTATCGAACTTACACCCACCTGTTTCAGTCATCTCAGACGAAGACATTGAGAGCTTCTTGTCTCACTTACAGGCGTTCCTACGGGTAGAACACGACTGAGACACTCACGCAGCACCCGCCAAACCGTCAGCCATACAAAATGGCGGCGTTGGTGCCAGTTCTTGTGGCTGGTCTAGCCGTCTTTGGGGGCTACACCTATGGGCCAGCTATCAAGCAAACAGCGACGGTTCTCGGAGTATCACGGACCGTCAATAACACACCCGTCGAGCACGGCGGCGACCTCGTCTACATTGGCGACACGATCCATTGCGAGGACATTCACCACCATGAGGCGAGCGGGCTCCTCTTCACCGCGTGCGAAGATGACACAGAGACGCGCAAGGCATGGTTTCCGCCGCTTGGAACTTTCGAGGACCCGGTCAAGGCAAGCAAGTCTACGGGCTCTATTCACATTATTGATCCCAAGGTAAGTTCAATGTGGCTGGAGTGTAATGAGCAAGTCAACTGACAGGCCCACCAGGACATGACTACCAAACGCCTCAAGTTCGAGAACTTTGACAGCACTTTCATCACTCACGGCATCGATGTCATCTCTGACCCGGAAAAGGCTGACGCCGTCTATGTGTTTGCCGTTAACCACGTTCCCCACGCCGAGTACCTCGCAACCAAGACTGGTGGCCAAGGCGACCAGAAGGTCTTGGACAAGGCCCAATCCCGGATTGAAATCTTCCATCATATCCTGGGCTCCTCCACCATCAGGCATGTGCGCTCTGTTCAGCACCCGCTTATCAAAACGCCCAACGACATCTTCATCAAGGACCCGCACTCCTTTTACGTCACGAATGACCACTTCTACCGCGAGGGAACGATGCGCCTCATTGAGGACCTGTGGCCTGGAGCATCTTGGACAGACACCATCCACGTCACCGTTGACAAGCATTCTGCGCTGAAGCCCACAGACGGCGTTACGGCGCAGGTTGCCTACGAGGGAATGAGAAACAACAACGGCCTGGGTCACTACAAGCCTGGGTACATCCTGATCGATGATTGCTCCGGCGCCGCGATGCACATTGGCAAACTGTCTGCGGACCCGAAGAACATCACGATCGATATCGAAGAGTCTGTCCATTTTGACTCCTACATCGATAACCCCAGCTATTTCAACGACCCGTACAAGTCCGAGACCCAAGATGCCAGCGGCTTCATCCTGCCAGGTCTCATCCGGCCCATTGATATTGTGAAGCAGATTGGCGATCCTACCTCTAATATCGGATCTATCGTTTGGTATGCGAAGCCGATCGCGAACTGCGACGGTGCCAATGCCGACTGCTGGGAGAAGCGCGCTCTATTTGAGGATGATGGAACCAGAATTCGTTCAGCTGCCGGCGCAGTCTTGGTGGGCATTGACCCAGCCAAGGAGAACAACAAGAAGAAGGCGTGGCTTTTTGTAACTGGCTTCTACTCGAGCGCCGTCGTGGCTGTCAAGGTCGACCTTTGAAGGCTTTTATTTGATGGCCAGACTGTTTAAAAAGTTCTTCAAATGAAGCCGGCGAAGTTTTGGTGGTGTTTTGAAGTCGGGAAAGGTGAATTCAGCATGCGTCCATGGTACTTGGTCTTACAAGGCTCAAAAGTGGAAATAATGAAACGTTGGGTTTAAAGAGAGTTGACAAAGCAGCTTGTGAGAGCAGCCTGAAAGTGAGAGATAATTTCAAAATCACCAACACGAAAACTGGGACCCTCGAGTTAAGCTTGATTATCATACGTGAGCTCTCATCAAGTTTGTTGAACACGTACTCTTTCATTCCATGATAGGATCCTAGCAACCAGACTATGTACCAAATGTTGCCAAAATATCTCAGTTATCTCATCCTTCAAGTATTAATACAGAATACGACAAAATACAGTCTTGCCTCCCACTTCCAAGTATGGGGGGAGTACGCATGAGTGAACAAAAGGTATATATACACAAGCTTAGATTCCAACCTTGACAGTAAAGTGGCGCTCTATTGGTTCTCCAAAACATCAAAGATACCCTCCATGACAGGTGGCGTCGTGTCGGCTCTGATGGGTTTATCAAATGAGAAGGAGTCCATCGACAGGATGGGGGTCGTGGCGACGGAGTTGCCCAGCGAGATTGATCTCGTCCCTACCGACGACGACGCCCGCGGCCGGGGCTCAAGCATGCCCAAGCCAATCTCTTCAGCGCCGGAGGCATTGCGCTCAGCGTCAAGCATCATGTCCAGTCTGGAAGAATGGCGCCGTAGAGGCCGAGACCCGGGCCAACTGGGCGTCTGGGTCATGGCTCGCCTGGCCGAGTTGGGGCGAGGCAAAGGAAGGGAGACAGGGGAAAGATGGCTTGAAGACGGGATGGATGAGAAGCTGGGAGTTCGTAGTAGAGGCTGCTGGGTAGTCGAGGACTGGTACTCAAGCTCGAGAAGCATGAGAAGGTCTGTGACTGTGACACCATCAGGGAGGCTGAAGTCAGGCCGAGGAATGCGCTTGTATGCGACAGACTTCGTCCTGCTCCTGTTCTTGGGCGGCTGGAGAGAGCCGGTCTCAACAGCCAAGCCCTCCGGCCTTCCCCGGGGTACGGGGACCGGGACGTCCGGCTCGCTTGGTCGACGAACTTCGCTTGCACAACTAGGCCGGCGCGCATCACTTGCGTAACTCGGCCGGCGGGCGTCACCGCCGGCGAAGGTGGTGAAGCTCGCGTAGCTAGGACGGCGATCGCCCGGCTCATCCGGCAGGCTCGGGACGTCACCGGCAAACCCAAAGTCGAAGGCAGGGTCATTAGGCTGGTTGCCGAAGGTGTCTCGCTTCTGTGGGGGCTGGAAATCGATGGTGTCCGTCCGTCTTACGGGCTTGACCTCCGGTGCGACCTCAGGCTCAGTCTTCGGCTGAGCCACCGACTCGCGGGTTCCATTGCCGGAGAACCCGAAGTCGAATAATGAAAAGTCGGAAGCCCGCTTATCATTCTGCTGAGCCGGCCTTGGCTCGGGGGACGGCGACGGCTTCTGCTCAGGTCGGGGGCTGAGCGGTTGGGTGAGAGACTGGGGTTCCGGGGTCTTGAGAGGCGAGCTATATAAGGGTTGATGCGTGGCAGGGCTCTCCGGACGTGACCGTTGGCGCAACGACGGCGACCTTTGGAATGCCGACTGCAGACGGAGCTGCCCTCGTTGAGACTTGGAGAGCTGTCGTTGTACGCCGAGCCCAGGCACCGCTGGTGAAGATGCATCCGATGCAGACACAGGTTGTGCAGCGGGCATCATGCTCATTCTCCTCAGGGAGCTGAGGGAGTCCGGGGTCTTGGTCTCGAATGCCGATACTGCCTTGGAAACGGGGACATTTTGATGGCCAGTATGGTTCATCTCCTGGATGAGATACTGCAGTTGGTTGTCGTCGAGGTCGGCCAGGACCTCGTACAGGGAGCCGAAGGACGATGAGGGCTTGTGTCCCTTGCGATGAGACGGCGCCGGAGACTCCATGGCGGCTGATGATTGCCGGTGGTAGTTACTGTAGTAGTGGTGGTGGTAGTGATAGTAGTACTGCGTCGACCTGGTCGAGAGCAACGTCTGTCGGCAGCGCTGGCCGTGAAACCGAATCTACACCGTCGCCTGTTACACTGGCGGCGGATGATGGACATGAACTCAGTCGAGGGGGACGACGAAGAAGGCGGAGGTCATTCAAGGTTGCTGTGACCTTGCTGGGCAGCGTGTTCGTGTCGCACCGCACCGATGTGCTCCCGTCAAAGCCCTGCTCGACAGGTTTGTGTGGAGTCGACGTGCAGCAAGGAGACAAGCTTGAATGCAAGGCGAAGAAAAAAAAGAAAAGCAAAGCGCAGAGTAGCACCAGAGATCCGCTTCCTCGATGACGGGTGGAGCAGCGAGTTTGAATTGGATGTCGTGAAATGCCACAAGTCCGAAGCAGTCGCACGTACACAGTGCCTTGCCTTACTCGCGAGGGGAGGGAAAAAAAGGCTTGGGATAACTCGTGACAAGTCGGGATATCAAAGCCCATGCCTGCCGATGCCCCCTTTTCAAAAAGGTCGCGCCAAATCATTAAAGCGAAATGATGAGTAATTTGGCACGCTGGGGCAACATCGAGCCCGTCGCAGGGGTCTCGTGGCGCGTTTGGAGCGCGTTACAAAACCTCTTGTACATGGCCCGTGCCGGGCACGTGGAGATCAAACAGAGAGATGAAGGGGAGAGCCGTTATGGGGTCTGATTGACAGCTGACAGGAGGAAAAATGGGCGCTGTTTCTTTGAGTTGATTAAATTCCCGAAACTTTATTCCACACTGTTGGCTTTGGCAATGACGTGAAACGCAGGTGGGATGAGCTAGAGGTCGAGACTTTGGGCTGCAAGTGATATATCCCAGTGAAGAGTGAGTGAATGAGAATGGGTCATTGAGATCTGAGACTTAGCGGGAGATGCCCAAAAATGAGAGTGAGTGAGATGAAGTGAGAGGAGATGATTGAAGTTACATCATATCATAAGAAAGAGGATGATTCAATCGGTCTAAGCATGCCATTGAGAAGAATCAATAGTGAGATTGACCATGTTTTCGCTTTTAGATAATGCTATTTTGTGACCCCTAACGCCCTTATCATCGCTCTCTCACTCATAACTCATTCACCAAGGTCGCTCAATCGCTCATTCCGTTCACCTGTGAGGCAAGCACCGACTCCTAACGCCTCCTCATAGAGAACGAGTCTCCAGCGTGGTATACCTCCTGAATGAATCGGTCTGCATCGCTGATCATTCTGATGCTCTGGTCCACGCTTGGAGAGGTCGGATCTCCCATGACGGACTGCCAGCTCTGTAGAAGCTGTTTCAAATGATCGCCAGCTCCGAGTATATCAGACGGGATCATGTCTTTGAGTTGCGGGATGCGGCAGGCTGCAAGCAAAACAAGCATTGCACCGGCCATGCTGCACGCGCGACACCCTGTTAGCTAGGTTCATCCGCACGAGATGTGTTCACTTACGAGAGCGAGCAGATCCACGTATCTACCAGAACCGTCTGTCCAAACCCCCTTAGGTTGAGGATGTGCAACAAGCAGGCATCCAGACAAGCCTTGCAATTATTCAAAGAGTCCTGGTTGATGAGGAGCTCCGAATTAGCCTCACCGCGACCAGCCCTGCCGCTCAGCATCCACATTAGATATGGCCGGTATATCACACTCCGGCAGGTGAGATATCTCTGCCGTAAGAAGCCGCCGTGTTCTGTTGGGGTGCTCTGGTTGCCGATGTGGTTGAAGCCAACCTCAAACTTGAAGGCGGCCGGGAGGACGTCGCGCCACTCGTCCAGTTGGTGGTTCAGCTCGGCCACAACATAGGGGAAGCGGGTGTGGTCGAGGGCGGTGCCGGTGTCGCGTGCATAGAGGAGCTGGTGGACGCGATTGAGAAGGCGGCGCATAGAGATGCAGGCGAGGAAGTACAGTGAAGACTTCTCTTCGACTTTGCTGTCACGATGGGTGTTGTATTGGCCCGGCAGGGCTGTTGAAGATTCGATGCGGGCAATGCCTGATTGGGGCAGGCCGTTGAGCTCCGCGAGGTAGTCGCTGGATTTCGTTAGTTAGACTTGGCAGAGGCCAGGTCGGGAGGGTGGTTATTACCTCTCCAGGATGTAGCACGACCAGAAGATCCTGCGAATGCGTTCCTGGTCTTCTTCTGATTCTGATTCCGGGGAATAAGACAGCAGCAGAAGGCACTTGGCGGAGGCTGCGTTGATGTACTCCCATGCCTGCAGCGGCCGACGGAGAAAGGCAAAGTACATGCTGCGAGACCAATCGGGTCAGTTCCTGCACGAGATTTCCGCCAAAAACGGGATGGGCGCTTACGCTGTAAAGAAGAGGCAATGGGTTGCAGTGCTGCCCACATTAGTGTGTACGACGTGCAGCTTCTTCAGCACGCTGTCAAAGTACATGTCGCCCATGGCCCGTCTGGCGAGCCTCCGCTTCCGCTCCTCCTCGCTCAGCGTCGTCCCGGTGGTCAGGCCGGCAGTTACTTGACCTGCGCAGCCGAGTGCCATCGTCAGGAGTGCCAGGCACACGAGGATGCTGTCTTCTTCGGGGATTCCATCTGATATCAGCTTCCGCACTTGCGCGAGCTGACCGCAGGACATGGTCGGGTACCAAAAGTTGATGGTGAGCTCGAACGACTCGATGATGCCGTCAATCTCCTCGGTGGTCACATACGGGTACATGACCGTTGAGCGTGTCTTGACCGCAGGCCGCGACTGCTCGAGGTGGAAGATGGAAACGTAGTCATCCTTCATACTCGGGAAGGCCTCGAAGTGTGGCCATTGGAGGATGGACTCGGTGGTGCTCGTGTGCATGGAGTCCAGCACGGCGTTCTCGTAGTTGTTCTGGTACAGCGGCTCGGAGATGGGGGTGCGCTGCGGGTGGTGGATCTCGTTCAGGGGTGAGCCGGAGAAGGACCCGCGCGAGGCCGAGCGGAGGGCCGGCGAGACCACGGCCGGGCGACTATCGGCAAACGGCGGCGCGCCCTTGAAGACCCCATCGTGAGACGGGTTCGGTGAAAAGTGGAACGAGGAGGCGGCGGGACTGACGATGGTGGCCTTCATCTCGTGGAGGAACTTCTCCACCCTCAGTACGCCCTCGAGGATGAGGTCGCTCTTCCCGCGTCTAGTGACATGCAGCACATGAATGGTCAGAGCTTGATCTCCTTTGTCTCTTCTCTTCGCGCGAGTCCCCGGGTGCGCTTGATTCGCCCGCCGGGGATCACGGCGCCGACAGCCGGGCGGGACTTACGAGTTCGCCTCGGATCCATAGGTGCATTCCTGCTGCGATGCAGAGCACGAGGCGCATGGCGTGTTGCCGTTGCATCTGGGCGAGACATCGTTAATCTTCTCTTGTTTCCTGCAGATGGCGCAGACCCGAGAGCCTGGGACGACCTGGGCCTTGTTGCTTGGCCTTGACCGCACGTACCTGATCTTCCTGGCGCGGCATGTATCGCACTGCGGGACGTGACGTCGGTCAGCTTCATGGTTCTTCGGAGAGATTGCCGCTCGATGCCAGGGGAGGTGCCATTGCGGCTGCTGCTAGCAAGATGGATGGCATTCTCCACAGGTGGCAGATCATGGGGATGACAAAGTCGAGGATAAGCGCAATTGTGCGTATGCCATTCCGAGGGGAATTGGAACATCGTGAAAAACCTGGCATTCTTGGTCTGTGGTGGTGGTCTAGACCCGATTCTGTGCTGGGCATTTTGTCTCGCCCCCGAACACGGCCCGCAGCGACAATGCTTGGTCATGAACACCACAAAAGACAATTACTGAACATCAGATGAGACTATTAAATCCAACTTACGGCATGGCTCGTCCTCAACCTCTTCCTCGACGGCTCAGTAATCGACTCATTGTCCATCGTCTCCATTGAATCAGTCGCAATCACGGGGTGGCAGGCATGGCGTAGCACCCAGTTTGGCCGTTGGAGGTCCTTCGATCCGAAGCGGACCGAGTGCAGAAGGCACTGGAGTTTGCAAGTGGGAAAACAAAAAAAAAAGAATGGATGCACAAGGGGGGCAAACGAAGAATCCTGGCAGAGGGGGGAGGAAATGCATTGGATACATATGCAAACCCACGTGTGGTGCGGGGGAGAAACGCTGTGGAGTAGGGGGTGGGTGGGAGAATTGGAGCAATTGGACGGCCTTGGCCAAGGAGGGAAGCCTTGAGGGGAAGCTAGTTACGCGCTGCCTCGCTCCGCCATTCCCCGACGGCTTTCACGCGGTGAAGGTGACATTGGACGATGCTGTCGCTGGGGAACTGTCCGGGGATGTAGCCGTTCGAGGAAAGGCGGGCTGGACGAATTGGAGAAAACGCATGTGATGGGCGACACCGCTTGGCGAAATTGCCGGACGTTATAAAGTGATCAGATGTTCTCTTCTTCATCGGTTGTGACATGGAACTTGGTACGGGAGTTTTGCTGTTGTTGGTCATGATGGTGCCGTCCTAGAGTCTGGTCTCACTCTTGCAGGAGGGCCGTGCCGCTCCAATCACGAAGCCTAGGCGGGCAAGGTTACCCCAATTATCCACCAGCACACAAGAACTCGGCCGACATGCCAATCTCAGTGATTTCGTGAGAAAGATTGCAGATTTCAACATATGTCTGGACAACATAGAGTACTGGGAGTATTATTATTTATGTGCACGCTAGCTGCGATAAGAGGCATGTGAAGCGGTCCTGTGGATTGGCCCGGGCATCGGACCGGGTCCCGAGCCGGTATCGCCCCATAAGCATCGCCAAATCCGGGCCGGAGTGGGTCCTCAGACTCCGGCCAACTTCTCGTCCACGTTCATGGTGTTCAGCACGGTCTGTGCGGACCGCTTCTCCAAACTCTTCTTGACAGGGTTGGGAGCACTGAAAACCTCCTCCAATTCCTCCAGGGTGCGGTCCTTGGTCTCGGGGAAGAAGAAGTACTGGCCGAACAGTTAGTGATGCAACGTTGGCTGTGATGGAGCGGGTACTTACAATGAACACGGCCTCGAACAAGTCCCAGAAAATGAACACAATGTAGAAGTAGTACTTGATGTTGAGGAACGCGGGTCCACTGGAGTACTGGATGATGGTGCTTGCGACGGCACTGGCAAAGTTGCCGACGGCAGTGCCCTTGGCACGGGTGGCCGTGTTGAGGGTCTCGGCAATGTACATGCTCTGGAGCGGTGTCCAGCCGAAACTGAAAACGATGCCAAAGATGTAAATGAAGGCGATCGTGGTGTTGGCAGCTGCTTCGTTGCTGGCGTCCTCCGTGGCAAGCTTCGAGGTTCCAGTGATGATGGCGAAGCAGAACGAGCAGAAGATGATGGAATAGATCAAGAGGGGCCGGCGACCGACGACATCCGTCATACGGGCTCCAGCAAGGGCAGCTCCAAAGCACAGAATGGGGTTGATGGCGTTCAACGCCAAAACCTTCTTCTCGTCGTCGATGCCGGCGTTCTCTAGCAGAGCGGTCATGTAGTAGGAGCTCAGCGAGTTGCCAGACACCTGTCCAAAGACAGCCATACCCAAGACGCAAATGAGTCTGCGACGAGCCGAGTGGGTATTCCAAAGCTCGCTGTAGTCCCACCACTTCTTGTCAGACGCGTCGGTCCGGATCTGCTGTGCCATTTCCTTGAGCTGGAGCTGCACGATAGGGTGATCCATGGAGCCCTCGCCGTGGTAGGTCGCAAGGATCTTGGCGGCTTGCTCATGCTTGTCGTTTGCCATCAGCCATCGAGGAGACTCGGGGATGAAGAAGACGCCGACGCAAATGATGCCAGAAGTCACCTGGGTTTCTGTTAGGGGGACTGTGGGTGAGGGTTGAAGAATGGGCACCAACCATCTGAATCCAGATCGGGATACGCCAGCCACCGTCATGTTCGATGTATGAACATCCGTAAACGGTCCAAGAGGCGATGATCGAGCCGACATACCTGGGACCATCCAGTCAGTACGCAGCAATGAACGCGATCGCTCTCAAAACGTACCAAGTGCAGTTGTATACACCCGTAATGGTTCCTCTCCACGCTGGGTGGGCCATCTCGGACACGTAGGTGGGAGCGGAGACGCAAACGAAGCTGACGCCGAATCCTAGAACGAAACGTCCGGCAAGGAATTGGCCGGCGCTGGAAGCCATCAGTATGCTGCATATTGCAATGCGTCGGTGGGTACCTATTCTCACGTCTTGGTGGGGGCCTGGATGCAGGTGCCGATAATGACAATCAAGCTGCCGATAAACATGCCCCATCTGCGTCCGAGATAATCGTTCGTGGGTCCGGTGAAGAAGACGGCGGCGACACTGCCGATGTTGTACATGGCAAAAATGATGCCGGTGCTCTGATCGACCGTCTCCCTATCAATCACGTTAGCTAGATTACGAAAGTCTTGGGGGGATTACCGACTTGTTGAAGTAATTCATGTACGACTTCATGCCGTTGAGGCCTCCCATCTACTGCGTGTTAACCATTGAGGAACTTGGGCTATTTGCGATAGCACTCACGAGAGAGCCATCGTAGCCGTTGAGAGCACCGCCAAGGTAAGCTAGGTACAGGTAGTTAGGAAACCATCCTTGAGATATTGGAAGCATGGCACGGCGCACCGATGATCAGAATGCCGTAAAGACGGAACATGGACTTTGTCCAAGGCGAGTACTGGCCTTCTTGGGTCTCGTGGGCGATCTGGACGGCGGCATCGACATGGACCTCTGGCGAAGCACCGGCGAGGCCGGGCCTCTCGGCGACGTGTTCGCCGGCCGCCATATCGGACTTTTCGGCGGACATTGTGGATTGAGCTGCAAGATAATACCAAGTACTAATCTATGCGTAGGCAGACCAACACGGGCTCAAACCAAGTGGACCAAGTGGTCAGGAACAGTGGAGAGACGTGGAGAGATCGAGTCTTGGATGGGTTCCATCGATGGAGACGAAGGATGGAGAGGGCGATAACATGGCCCTCTTAAATGCTGCGACCACCAGCCCCGGCCTGTTCAAGACACAAGCTCTCCCCGCATTCGGGCCATCAGATCATTCGAAGAGGGTCACAAAAAGAGAAGAAAACCTGGGGTGAAAAGAGTCACGGCCGACCATCAGCCCGACAACACGGGTGCGCTTGCAGTTCTCGGCCCACATTAGCCGGGGGTCTAGACGGAATTCGATCTGGGGTAAAAGACAAAAGAACTTTCCGTCCGTTGGAACATCAGACTAGACGAACAGGGTCTGCAGAATGGGATGGATGGAGGGGAGGGTTGGAGGGCAAGGGGAAGGGGAAGGGGAAGGGAGTGAGATGGATGGTTGGGGGGTCGGGGGTGTGAGTGTGGCAGACGTTGCAGCGGTGTTAGCCCCCGAGTCCTCTGCGCAGTAGTGTACTATGCAGTACTATGTAAGGTGCGAAGGTGTGGGGCCGGCCCCGACTTCCCCGAACCCACCTAACAAGTGCCCACCACCCCACCCCCGGACCGGGGAAGCTATGCCCCTTGTGGCCTTGGACTCTCGGTTGGTGCGGACCTTCTCCGACGAGGGGTGGAGGGGTAACGCGAAGACCTCCACTGCATGCCTGCGAAGACTCAAGAGGTATCTCTTCGGGGTAGTTTCCCTCGTTACACCGACCACCCACCCGACTGCCGCCTGACTCGGAGCTACCCCGAACAGAGCAGAGAGGGGCAGCAACTTGCACGAAGCACCTCACTCTGCACCAGCCTGCAGTTGCCCCACGTTCACTCGTCATACCTTACCTTGAGGTACCTATGGCGGGACAACGCTGCTTCACGAGAGCAAACTTGCAGAGTGGATGGATAGCAGTCCCTTTCCCCAGACACGTTACTTCGCGTGGAGCTTTGAGCGTGAATAAATAACCGTACGACCGTGGGCTGCCGGCCGATTTGTCTGCCCTCTCCCTCCTCCTCCTCCTCCTTCGTTTGTCTCCCTCTCTTTCCTCTTCGTCCTTGGCCGTCGTCTCCATCGTCGTCTTCGTCTTCGTCTTTGTCGTCGTCGTCGTCGTCGTCGTCGTCCTTCCTCTCTGACACGCCCTTGGCCGTTCAATCCGTCTACCAAGCCATCGCTACCCCTCCTCCGAAACCGCCACGATGGCCCCCCAAAGCTTACCCCTCCAAGCCAAGGAGGGCGTCCACGACTACGAAAACCCTGAGGTGTTCCGTCGCAATACCCTCCCCCCTCGCGCTTACTTCATTCCTGAGACCTCCATACTCCTCAATGGCGTTTGGGACTTCCACTACGCTGGCACTCCTGGCGAGGCCCCGTTGCCCGACGACAAGGACGACAAGTGGGAAACCATCAACGTCCCTGGACACTGGCAGCTCCAAGGCCATGACTACCCGTGGTACACCAACACCCAGTTCCCTATTCCCGTCGACCCACCCTACGTTCCCAGCGAGAACCCCACCGGCACATACAGACGCACCTTCCACGTCCCCTCCACATGGGACGAGAAGTCTCAATTGCGCTTGAGATTCGACGGTGTCGACAGCGCCTATCACATCTGGGTCAACGGTGTCCTCATTGGTTTCGCCCAGGGCTCGCGCAACGCTTCCGAGTTCGACGTCACGAGCATTCTCAACCGGGATGGCCCCAACGAGGTCTTTGTGAGAGTCTACCAATGGTCTGACGCCACCTACATCGAGGACCAGGACCAGTGGTGGCTTTCCGGTATGGAACCCTTACCCCTGTCTATGTCTTCTTTCCTCTAACCGATTGGCATAGGTATCTTCCGCGATGTCACCCTCTTGGCCGTGCCTGAGCCTTTCAGAATCGAAGACTTCTTCCTTCGCACCGACCTAGACGACAAGTACGAGAATGCCACCCTTCTCGCCACCGTTGACGTCAAGGCCGCCGAAAAGGGCACCGTCAAGCTCACCCTCAGCGAGCTGGGCAAGAACGGCGGCGCCGTGATTGTCACCAAGGAGGCCCAAGTCAACGCCAACGACTCCAAGGTCGAGCTCAGCATCCCCGTCACAAACCCCCAGAAGTGGACTGCCGAGACGCCCTACCTCTACCGCGCCGAGATCACCTTCGCCTCTCATACAGTCTTCCAGAACATTGGCTTCCGCAAGGTCGAGCTCAAGAACGGATTGATCTCTGTTAACGGTACCCCTATCCGCATCCGCGGTACCAACCGCCACGAGCACCACGCCCACTTCGGTCGCGCTGTTCCCCTCGACTACGCCAAGCGCGACCTTCTCCTGATGAAGACTCACAATATCAATTCCCTGCGATGCTCTCACTACCCCCCTCACCCCAAGCTCTTCGAGCTTGCCGACGAGCTCGGTTTGTGGGTCATGGACGAGGCCGATCTCGAGTGCCACGGCTTCTATGACTGCATCGCTCGTCCGCAGGACGTTCAGGAGGAGGCCGACTACGAGGAGCGCAAGGCCGTCACTTTCCCCAAGGCTGGCAAGTACACCAGCGAGAACCCCGTCTGGCGCGAGGCCTACCTTGACCGTATGGTCCAGCTGGTTCAGCGTGATAAGAACCACACTAGCATCATCATGTGGTCTCTCGGTAACGAGGCATTCTACGGCGAGAACCACAAGGTCATGTACCACTACGCCAAGAAGTTTGACCCCGGCCGTCCAATTCACTACGAGGGAGACGTCAATGCCGAGACCGCCGACATGTTCTCTTACATGTACCCTCCCATTGACCGCTTGACGCGTCTCGTCACAACCGAGCAAGTCAAAGAAGACGGCAAGTTTGACAAGCCAGTCATTCTGTGCGAGTACGGACACGCCATGGGCAACGGCCCTGGTGGTCTGGACGACTACATGGAGGTTTTTGAGAAGTTCCCTCGTCTCCAGGGTGGTTACATCTGGGAATGGGCCAACCACGGTATCTGGAAGGAAGATCCCGACGGCAAGAAGTACTACGCATATGGCGGAGACTTTGGCGAACGCCCTCACGACGGAACCTTCGTCATGGATGGTCTTCTTCACAGCACCCATGATCCTACCCCTGGTCTGATTGAGCTGAAGAAGGCTTACCAGCCTCTCTCCCTCTCTGTTGAAGAGAACAAGCTCGTCATTTGGAACAAGTACGACTACGTTGGCGTCGACCACCTCTCCGCCTCCTACAAGGTGGAGGAGTTGGGTGAGAAGTAAGTCAACTGCTAGCTACGCCTAACGCACCGAAGTCAGAGAACTAACGATTGGGCCATAGCTCTGCTCTCCTCGCCGCTGGCAACCTCGAGGTTCCCACGATCGCCGCTGGCGAGACGGCCAAGATCGATCTGCCGTCCTCCCTTTCGAGCATTCAGTCTGACAAGGAGGTCTACATCACCATTACCTTCCGTCTGAAGGACTCTACCAACTGGGCGGAGCCCGCTCACGAGATTGCCTGGATTCAGCACAAGCTGTCCGGCGTTGCACTCGTTCCCAAACTCGGTCACGATACGCTCAGCTCCAAGCTGCAGGTCAAGCAAGTTCGCTCAACAGCAACCATCTCCGGTTCCGACTTCACCTTCACATTTGACACAGCCCGCGGCTACCTCACCTCTTGGACTGCCGCCGGAGTGCCGCTCCTCGAGAAGGATGCGTCCACTAATGCCGCTGTTTCTCCCAACTTCTGGAGAGCCCCTACCGACAATGACAAGCCCAATGATGTACCCTACTGGGTCCGCTATGGCGTCAACGCCTTCGACAGCACTCTGCGTTCTCTCAAGATCAACGAGTCTGCCGAGAAGGTGGAGATCATTGCAACCACCTACCTCAGCCCTCGCATCTTGGATTGGGGCTGGAATACTGTGACCACCTATACTATTGACGCTGCCGGTCGTCTTACCATTGCCGTCGACCTGAAGCCAAGAGGCATCAAGCCTACGCACATCCCCCGCGTTGGTCTCAATCTCCGCCTGCCCAAGGCTCTTAACAACGTCAAGTACCTCGCCCTTGGCCCCGGCGAGTCATACCCCGACAAGAAGTCCAGTCAGCGCCTCGGCGTGTACCAGGCGACCGTTCCGGAGCTGCACCAGCACTACGATGTGCCTCAGGAGGGCGGCAACCATCTGGAGACCCGCTATGTAAAGCTCACCGAGGGCTACGGCCGCGGTATCCGCGCCACCCCGGCTGATGCTGCGCTCTGGTCTGAGGAGGAGTGGCGCCAGTTCAGTTTCCAGGTCAGCCACTACAAGACCGAGACTGTCCAAAACGCCGCGCACCCGTGCGATCTCTTTGAGGAGGACGCCACCCTCCTGCGTCTTGATGCCCGCGTTGCCGGTGTAGGCACCGCTGCTTGTGGTCCTAACGTCCGTGAAGATCTCAAGGTGCATGTAGGAGACTTCAAGTTCGCCTTCGTGTTGGAGCGCGTTGGTTTTTGATGGGCCGATGATGACTGAAGCGAAACTTGGCTAGAAGGGCCGCCGAGCCCTATGAATGTTCATGGCTAGAACTAGTAATGGCACGAAACGTTATGATAATGCATCTCTGAGACGAATGACGACGTGACGACGAAGATGATAGAGACGGAACGTCTGTGGAAAGCTGCCTGATTTTGATGCTTTGGAGAGTGCGAGACGAGCCGGGGTCCCCGGCCCTCTCGGGGCATCGTATGGCCGCTCCGCCCCCCGTATATAGCCGGGCTGGCTTCGGCCAGCCCATCCCAATAGATCTTCCCTTTATGGGCGTTCCGTCACGCAGAGAGAGACGACGAAGATGCCATCCACTTTTTTGCGTGAAGGGCATGACTCGGCGTTCGGGATGTGCACAAAAGCTACTTGTGTTGCCCCGCACCTCACGACGGCCACAGAAGGACATCTCGTCCCTGAGATTCCCGCAACTGGCCGGTTGGCCCAATGGCAAGGCGTCTGACTACGATTTATCGTGACATCAGGAGATTCTGGGTTCGACCCCCAGGCTGGTCAATTCTTTTTGTATTTTCACGTCATCTTCACTTTTGCGAGGCATAGAAAGTTCAACAATACAAATGTGGTCTAGGGTAGACTGAATTCTAAGGCCAGCCTAATGATAATGGGACGTCGAAGTACACGTTTGCCTCGAGCTTGCACAGGCGTACGAACGCGCACTGCTTATCTGACTCGCCTGCGCATTTGCAGTTATTTGAGCACTGCGGTGTGCCGCATATTCGTTTGCCCAGAGTTTGACCAACCATACTGTGATTCCCGTAACAACCACCATTGTTTCCCACCTCGCCCCGAAAACGCCCATCAGCCCTGTTCCGAAGAAGGTGATTTCGAATCCCTTCTCGAATGCGTGCCTTGTTTCATTTATCATAGCAACAATCTCGCCGCCGTCGGAGCTGTGACCGACTGGTCTGTTCCTTCGCTTGCCCCTAGCACTGGGATTGAGGTTTTTTATCCGAACAAGCTCGTGTACGGGTTGGCGTCTCCACCAATGGCGTAGCCTGCGCTCCTTGGCCTTCGTTGCTCTCCATTCGAATGTCTCCGTCACCCCGTTGATGTTCATGTTGAACGGCAAGCACTTGATCTTGCCGTATCGGCCTTGGTTGAAGCGGTTGAAACTGGTGACTTCTTGATAGTACTCTTGCAAATCTCCAGCAAGGGGAAGCTTGAACAAAAAGGGGCCCCACAGACTTCCAGAACCCGTCGCCATTGCAGGGCTGTTTGCGTGAGGTCCGTCATGGAGGCCAAAATGGAATCTGTCAGATCCGCTCGTGCCTACAAGAACGCCGGACCTGGGCAGCACGGTTGCATGATCGAAGTGCACACTGAACAGAGGCCTATCTGGTGAAGGGCCCAGGACAAAGTGTCGCTCTGCGTGTCGCCACCAGTGTCGCCTTGGTCCTTTCACGGAATACCCGCAGAACGACGGCGGGAACTTGGCTAACGTTCTTCTTGAGCTGTGGGAATAGGACTTGTGGGAATGGGCACTGCCATCAACGTCGACGGCTTGCTCTTGGTGTGTGTTGTCACTTGTAGCCATGGCGTGTGTTGGTGGCAGGTGCAGATACTGGATGATGGACGCAGTAAGGAAGGCCTAGGGTAGAGGCGAAGATGAAATAAAATACCACAAACGATGCCAGAGAGTCAAGAAGATTGCTTTGTAGGACTGGAGAGGTCGGCTGTAGGTTTGATGTTGTGATGTGCGATGGAGGGAGAAGAAGGGCGGGCAGAAGTGCAGCACAAGTCAGGGATTATGTGCCTACCTACTTTAAGGTAGGTAGGTACCTTACCCAGGCAGGCAGGGTAGAATAGAGCGGCTTCCCAGGCGCAGATGGTGCGAGGCAGGCGGGAGGTAGGTCCGAGGAAAGCCTCATCGGGAGCAGGACCGCTCCTCCCAGCTGCACAGCTGAAGATACGGTATGGCAGGTGCTTTGGTTTCTATCTCTAACACTGGAATCATCAGTTGCGCCTGCCGCCCTTGGCCTTCTTGACGTCAATGTCCCGCCAGAACAGCACCGAAATCCACGCAGCCGCAAGAATGGACGTTCCCGTGATGAATATGACCCGCTGCGTCTCTCCATACGCCCGGTCGATCGCCGTCCTGGCCTCACTTCCGTCCGCGTACGAGGACTGCACCTCGAGACTCCCGTAGATGCTGTCGAGCTTCGTGAGCTCCGATGAGGGCAGGTGTGCCGCCAGCTTCTTCCGGAACAGCCCGGTCCATATCGCTGTTGCGATTGCAGAGCCCGCCCCCTTGCCACACGCCACGATCGTCGTCTCCACCGCCAGCAGAGCGGGAGTGTGCGCGTGCGACACAGCCATGAGCGTCAGTTGCTCGATCGGGTACATGACGCCGTTGCCAAACGAGATAAGGATCTGACACAAGACCATGACGCCGACGGATGGGTTGGGGATGTGCAGGCCCACCATGAGGCCTTCGCCGAGGATGTAAAGGGGGACTCCAAGGAGGAGAGCGTAGTATTTGATACGGCCGTTGTACCGCAACGCCACCCCGAGGAGCAGGTTCGAGACGGAGGCGCCAACCATCTCAATGTTGTTGATGTAGGTGGCATTCGTGACAGACTGGTGGAACTCGACGATGAGCATGGAGTAGATGTATGCTGCGACCACGCCGTCTGACGTATACAGCGTTCCGGCCAGCAAGTTGGTAAACACCACAGTCCGGTCCGTGAGGAGGTGCCATGGGAGAAATGTGACGGGGGCGAGATACTTCTCGTACATGAGGAATCCCACAATCATCAGAACGCCGATGACGATGAAGGAGATAATCATCGGCGAACCCCAGCCTTGGGTCTGGTACGAGTAGATGCTGATTGCCAGCAACAAGAAGCAAAGACCCGAAGCCAAAAGCAGCAGTCCGATGACGTCGAACTCCTTGCAGTAGTGAATGAAGTTCTCCTGCCAAGTCTGCTTATGGATTGGTCTCGAAATAAGCCCGGCGTCCCGCGCCTGCTTGTCGTACTTGAACATCAAGTACAGCAGAGGCAGGGAGCAAACCGGGATCAGAATCGCCCAGATGCCGAATCCCCACCTGAAGCCGATGGTGTCTAGCACACTCTCCGCTGCCGGACCGCACGCCCAGATCGACAGGAGGGACGGGGTTGCGAGGACGCCCATGACGAAGGCCCGGTGTCGCATGGGGATGGCATCGGCGATGAGGATGGTGAAGCTGAACTGGATGCCAAAGAAGCCAATGTAGTAAAAGACCTGTGCTGCGCAGTAGGTTTCGACGTTCTGGCAAGCGGCCATCATGACGGCGCTGACGGTCGTGAATAACACCATCGAGGCCATGCACTGGGGCCTTCCCCAGAGGTCCAGGAGCTTTGCATACGGCAGCTTGATGATGCCGCTAGTGACGTTGGCCACGACCGCCGTCGTTGCTGTAAGAGCATGCTGGCTGAAGTCGCTCGTGACATACGGGGTCAAGACTTTGAAGATTCCAGAGGAAAAGCCCAGCGTGAAGTTGTAGAACCAGACGCTGGTGAGAGTTAGCCAAAGTGCTTGTTCAAAAGAATTCTGGGGTTGAGAGAGAAAGGTTACACTGAAATCAAGATAACCAGCTGGCGGGTGCTGAGAATCTGTTCTAGGGGTCCGATTTCCTCCTTCTCGGACTCCACCGCAGTGTCTTTCTCGGTGTCGTAGTCCTTCTGGTCGTCTTTGACGCTTGAGTCCTCGCTCGCCGAACCAACGGCGGTAGCTACCGACGGCTCCCGCTTTGTGGCGTTCTCCATCGTGGAGACCGCGCGGCCGCTATCGCAGGGGGCCGTCATGGTCGTCAAAGATTTGGCGAGCGCCCCTGCTTGGAGTGTGCTGACTCGGGGTTTGTGAGGTGGAAAACCGAGCAAGCGCGGCGTTTACAAGATCATGTTCAAAGAGGATTGTTCTTCAACCGCATACGAAAAAAATCCAAGTTTACGATAACTCAAAGAAAGAGATACGTCACCTTGTAAGGCACAGCTTCGGCACTGGAAAGATTTTGACATGCCCCTGATTGCGGGGCTTTGACGCGTCGTACTGTTGCTTCCTGCATAGTGCTCCTTTTAATAGCGCCCAATCAACGACACCAGGTACCGCTGGTGGAGCGAGTCAGGGGCCTTTACAGCGGTTGAGCCACGCTGTAAACGCGTTCTTTAGGGGAATGTCTTGCCGAGACGGGAGATTGCAATGTTGTAGTGAGAGACGGCTACAGTTCTGAACCGATTGCGAGCTTGCGATGAAGACTCGGTCTTGAGTCTTTGAACAAGACGAGTGACTGGTGGCCTCATTGGCAACGAAGCTTGACGTTCGACAACTCAGTTGTGTGATTAAAGGGACAAAGCAGAAAATGTCGCTTGGCTTTTTCTGCCTATGTAGCACTGGAAAGTAATTTCCGCTGGTGAGACAACTCGCTGTAGGGACTGTCCGCTCCTGCCTGTTTTGGGGGCGCCGATGCCAGCGCCGGCCGAAAAGGTGTTGCCGGTCGGAAGTGTGGGGGGCCACTCCCGGAACATGCTCCGAGATTTGAGCCGCCACATCCGGGACACGGCAGCGTTCAAGTAAAATCCGGTCGCAGCCAGTCAAATGTGTCCATGAGATCAAAGTTGAAGTCCAGCTGCGCGGACACATCCCAGCTAGAGATGTCTACGGGAAGAGCGTTGCTAACGCCGCCTGTGTCATTCAGTGCGTGGTCGAGTACGTGCTGGATCACGACTTTGCAGTCGGCGCAGAGGTCTGCATTCGGAGCGGAGGGCTTGACCCAGGACAGGAAACCAACCAGCAGACTGAGCTGTTGAATGATATTGGAGCGGGAGGGTTTGGGGCTTTGAGGGTCGCCGGTGGGTGTAGGCCGGAGAAGCTCTAGACAAAGAACACCTCCGCCCGGAGCGGCGTACGCCATTACCTGCGATCAAGGTCAGAATCATCAAGAGAGGTTTCATAAATCGTACAGAGAAGGTTGAGCTCACCAGCCACATGAAGTCCCAATGCAACGGGGTAAACCGATCCATGTTGGTCCAGAACATGACGGCAGTTGACACCATCTCGAAGCTAACTCGCAACAGGTCATCGTTGTTTGTATGGCCCCCACGAAAGAGCAGCTGTTCAACGAAGAACAGATTTTGCAGGTGCTCCAGGTGCACAACCATCAGCGTGTAAAGCGTACCGTCGTTCAGCGTCGAATTCTTCACCTCCGCGGTGTTCAAACGCATCGCTGACGGCAGCTGAGCATAAGCCTGCAGCTGTCGCTCTTTGATGCCCCTGAAAAGCAGTCAGTATCATACTCTGAAGACCCTCGAGGTAATACGTACATGAGAGTTTGTAGCGCTGGAACTGCGACGGGTCTGACTGCCAGAGCGATCTCAAATATGTCGTCACGGATCATGGAGAAGCACACACGGGCGCGCAGGTTACCGACGGGCGGAAGAGTGCCGTCTCTATTCCACCCATGGCTGTCAAGGGCCGCTGCCGCCACTTTTCGGGTATCCTCGTCTGCCAACAAGTCCTCGTCCCTGAGAGCAAGTGGCAAGGGTGTCGAGGTAAACTTGCCGCAGAGAAGAGGCGGACGACCAGTGAAGGTAGACCCTGCTTTGTCGCTGTGAAAGACGTGGCCAAACAACCTTCGCCGCAGTTCTGACGCGAGGGTTGGCACGTATGGCTGGTTTGGCGCGCTGTCGTCGATGTGAAGCCCGAGAGATGTCAAGAGAGTCACACATTCTCCGTGGGATTGCCAGCACGAAAGACCTAGGATCGCAGATCAGCCATAAAACTTATCAAGGATTGGCGCAAAGGCGATAATATCTCCTGGAATTCTCGACAGCAAGAATAACGGGCGAGCTGAGAACTTACTGGCATCGCCATCAGCGACAGAGTCAACGATTCCCCGCTTGTAATGGAGATAGACCGACAACGTATTTCCTGCCTTCGAGGCCGTGGCTCTGGCGAGCAGAACGCAATCGTTGAGACATTTCCTCAAGGCTACTGCAGACTTCACTGTCTGTGGTGTGTTCTTGACTCCCCGCGAACCAAGAAACCAGTACGCGAACAGCAAGCCCAGAGTCTCCCAGCGAGTATTTTCTCCTGAAAACTGGTCGATGTAGCGGTTGCCGTCCGGCTCGTCTTCCACGAAGACTTTTGACGTGTTTATGCAAATTGTCTCTGCCAAGTCAGACAGCTTCGCTGCGTTGTGATCCATCGTCTCAAATAGCCTGCCATAGTGGTGATAAAAGCGGTCGAGGGCGCGTGGCGCAATTAGCTGGAAAGCAATGTCACACTCGTTGAAGTGGGAGCCGAATAGAACTTGTGCATCCTCTCTTCGAGGGATACTCTGAAGAACAGAAACGCATGTCTTTAGAACTGCATCTGACACGCGTTTGTGTTCTGGTTCTGTGTTGGCTGTGTTGATACCGCTTCTGCGTGCTCTGCTTGTAAGTTGGGGTTGGAAAGGCGACAGAGCGTCCCGCGTTTCTTCGTAGATGCCGAGGTAGGAAGTAAATCCAAGGAAACCAGGGGACTGCGCATCGACTGGACTGTTCACATCAGGACTATTACGTTCCTGCTCAGATCGATCCCGAGTTCCGATGGTGGAGCGATGGCGGGTCTGGGTTTCGGGACTGGCAGAGGTAGGAGAGGCACTCCTCGTTTTTCGTCCTGCCCGCTGCCGACTTGTCGACGCAGGCAGCTCGGAATCCTCGGTCTCATACTCACACGGCTCTCCCGGCCTTCTCCGTCTGCGACAGCTGCTGCAGACCGGGCGAGCGCGGTCGCAGGCAACCTTGCGCCGATGACATGGGCCGCAGGCGTGCGGTCGTCCATTTCTTCGGCGAGTATTCGGCGAACTGGGCGTGACCATAGACATGACGACTTTCGGCGATTCAATTTGGGCAAGGAAAGGAAAAGGCAAGACCTGCTACAACGTTAGAAGAAAAGCCGGTTTGCTTCTTGACCTCGGCGCCGAGAACGTGGTGTCTTGGTGAGCGGGAAGAAATTTCGGGGTCGGCCTCGGCTGAACTGACTAAGATCCACTAGTTCGGTGCCGAACTTTGACTTTGCCGTGCCGAGAGTCATCGATGACATGACACCTAGCGGACAGTCCTGATGAACAGGCTTGGTCGAGAGATTCTACTTTTATCATTTGTTAGAGTATCAAGTGAGTTGGGTGGCTAACCTTCTATGATCGTGAAGCCGACGAACATATCCCACGCTCCCATCCCGTGATGCCGCCAAATACCGAAAAATACACGATGCCAAAATGCAAGCAACCGGCAACCTATGCAACAATTTTGCTTCGCAAACCGCTCAAACGCCCTTAGATGTCCCTATACTGACGCACAAACTCATGCAATTCCACGAGAGACTCGTGGCCAACCTTTTGCATGTACGCCGAACTCCGATCCCCAGAGATGGCGACTTTGATGATCTGCTTCGCTGCCCAGCAGAGCTCAGTGTTGTATCTGACCATGCCGCTCTTTTCGAATACGGTGGGATCCATGCGGCCTTGTATGGTCTCCCACATCGCCTCCCACCTGGAGATGGCGCGGGAGAGATTCCGGGTGCTGGGGCCCAGGACCCCCATCAAGTTTGCAGTGAGCACCATGCCATTGATACCTGCGAATTGTTAGCTTCGAAGTACCACTCAAACGGCCGGGCTAACATACCAAAGATGAGAATTTGTAGGTCCGTCGCATTGATATCTTGAAAGGGAAAGCTCCCCATACCGTTCCAAGTGTCGCTCATTAGTGCGTCCATGCAATGCTTGAGTGATACTATCCTCCTTGCGGGATTGAACCCCTTGGTATTGGCAATTTCGTAATACTCCTCTGCATTACTTGCATCCCACAGTTCTAGCGGACAGGGGAGATCGCATGTTATCTCTGAGGTGGAGATCATGGACGGCACGTTGAACATGCCGGTTTGTTGCCAGTCTGCCAAAGCTATCCAAGTTGCCAGCCTGTAATCGTTAGATCAACCAAAACTTCCGCGTAAGACACGACCTACCTGATGCGAGACTCGTTCCGCACAAATTCATCGTACTGAAATAGCGGCGCATGCCTCGTCTGAGCCAGCCCAAGACAACGCACAGCCTGGACCAACACCGGAAGCCTTTGCGTGCGGTTCTTCCGCCGCGTTGCCATGTCGTTTCTGAAGAATTGCACGCTATGAATCATGACGGCCGCTTGAAGGCTCGCCTCTAGCTCATGGGTCCACTCAGGCGTGACACCGTTCGGAATCAGCCTATGGAGCCTCCTGAAAATGTACTCTTCGATGAGGCTGAGGTAGCCCCGGGCAGCCAGAGCATCATCGCTTGGCGGTGATCTCAAGGCGCCAGAGACCCCAACAGCGATCAAGAGCTCCTTCGTCGTTCGGTCCGTGCCAAAGTCTGGCCGGTGCAGAATGGGAAAGTCGATATGGCTCACGCGGAAAAACGTGGCGGCAAACATGCAGAGATTCTCGGCTGAAAACACAGAAGTCGCAGCAACGCGGTCAAAGGCTCCATCATACCACGGGTCGCAGATCTTCAATGCATGGTGGAGCTCTTCAAGTTCAGAGACAATCATGGCTGCCCGCGACTCGAATATCGCTGGGTCGTACGATGAAGTTGGTGTATGTATCAGCGACGCTGTCAGTCCGGACGTTTCCGCGAGCCCGGACATGGCATAAAGATAGTCGATTGACTCGGGGACGAAACCAGTTGCGAAAGGGTATGGTAGGAAGGCGGCAAAGTCCTGGTCGATAGACAAGCTCGGAGGGAACGGGGCAGGCACCACCGGTCTCATACTCGAATCGAGCCCGTCGCCTTCGGTCCTAGCGGCTGCGTCACTGGCGAGGAACTCGAGGATGTTTTCCGAATTTGGGTTGGTGAGGCCCAGGAGGAAGGCGACAGTGATCTTGGTGCGGTCTTTGTCGTTGTTGTTGGTGGGAGTACCGACGGCTGTTGACGAAGCCGAGGAATCCGTTGCGACGGACGGCGTGTCTTCGAGCCTGTGGTAGGTACATGCTAGCTTGCGAGAGAGGCAGCGCTCGCATGGATCGGATGTGTCGCATGATTGTTTGCTGTGGAAGCAAGCATCGCACGCCCGGGGCTTTTGGCCGCGCTTGAGAATGGGAATGGCTTCATGGTCTTTCTTGTTCGGACAGTGAATAGTATGCTTGCGGCAGACGTCGCTGTGCTGGTTTAGAAAAATGGTTCTAGAAGAAGATCGTCAAACATACCGTCTAGCAAAAGACTTTTCGCAGTAAGGGCACTTATAGCTTGCGCCTTCGATATCTAGAAAGGTGTGAGCGTCAAGAACACCGAGATGGCATGTGAAGATGATGACAGATGAGATGAACGGTTCACACTCGACTTCAGCTGGCAAGTCGATGACTGAACCTAAGCTACAAGGGATGAATGATCTCCACAAAATTATCAAGGCAGCCAAACCACATCAGGATGGCAAAAAATAAGCCCGGTTCAGGGGGGCTCGCGAATGGTCTCATGATCTTGACAACAAAAGTCCCCCAATTGAGACGCAAATATTACCATCACGCCCGGAACTAACCGATAAAAGAGAGAACAGATCGCAGGACTTACGTGTGGATTCGTGCCGTCGCAAATGAGCGCTCCGCTGATACTGCTTACCGCAGGTCGCGCAGGTGTACCCGCGGCCGCCGACGCCGACGACAGATTCCGGCATCTCGGGTCGCAGTAGGCTCCCGAGGCCCAACGCTGATAGACTGGGAGATCAATCGAAATCGGGCATAGAACCGAGACAGATCAGCCGGTGTTTGTTGGTGGGTTTGGACGGTAAGGGCGTGAAGGAATCGTCAACGGGGATGGTGAAAGGAGGTGGGTTTTATCCGAGCTAGTCGGAATCTCGCGGACTGGGCGGACTGCAATTGTCCTTGACGGAGTGAAACTCTGGACCTGGGGCCGGACAAATCCCACTGCCGGGGTCGTTGGCTGCGACGCCGGTGGGTTTTCACCTTAAATCCAGCGCGATCCACTCCTGACGGGTGGCTGGGCTAAGCCTGATTCGGAAGTCTGGGCATGCCGTGTAAGTTGAGATCATGGGGGCATGAGCGGCCATCGGGGACATTAGGAGTGCGGTTCAGGTCCTCGAATATTCCGGGAGAGATATTCTCCCTGTTTCGGTTTTTCTCTAGATTTCTGACGGGTTTTTCTGTTGAATACTGATGTTTTTGCGGCGTCAATCTGGTTATTGGATGTCAGTGGTTTTGTCTACGTCGTCTTCACTTGATCAATCGATGTTTCGCTTAAGCGTACTATCTACAAGTCCTATTACTCTCATTGCATGAAATCCATTTTCTCCTGTTCTTCCCCACGATGCACGGTATAACTTTGCAAAAAGGTAGGTTCGAACGAGCCGCCCGATAAGAGCCTTGACAAGAGTGAATTCTAAAGTGACAAACAGCAATTTCTCGCCATGCGACGCGAAATATTCTAGCAAAAGCTGGTACTCAAATCAGCCCGGGCATTCCGTTGCTTCCGCAGACATCAGCGGCGACAGAACGCTATCGACGGAACCACACCGACGCCAAAACGAAAGGGGCACCACCATTCAGGATTCCATCCAAATCAAAGGCATTGGCAAGGAAAGAGCCTTCAAATGCCGTTGAATACGCCCTGTAGGCATCTTGTTCATGATTCCTCGCCTTACCTTGTGTTATGCAAGAACTGACTGAAGGGGGGCAGAACGACGCTCGATGCGATTGTCAATTGGGCCAGACAAGGCTCCTTTTGGCCCCTGACTTTCGGTCTCGCGTGCTGCGGCGTCGAAATGATGCATGTTTCGATGCCGAGATATGATCAGGATCGATTGGGTATCATCTTTCGCGCGTCTCCTAGACAAGCTGATGTGATGATCGTGGCTGGTACCGTTACAAACAAAATGGCCCCTGCCGTCCGGCAATGCTACGACCAAATGCCGGAGCCGAGATGGGTTATCAGTATGGGCAGTTGCGCGAACGGTGGCGGGTATTATCACTACAGTTATTCTGTGGTCAGAGGGGTTGACCGCATCATCCCCGTGGACATCTTCGTTCCGGGCTGTCCGCCGACGCCCGAAGCGTTGATGTATGGCGTCTTCATGCTTCAGGCTAAGATGAGGAGAACGAAAATCACCAGGATGTGGTATAGAAAGTAGGGATACAGCTCTATTGTCCATCAAAGAAATACATGGCAGATACGAGATGTCATGTTGATATCAAAAGAATGGACTACCTACCGCCACGAATCACGGGATGATATTCAACACTTTTTTGGTCTCTATGGTGAGATTATTTCTTGATAATGACATATCACTGTCTGTAAGCGGCGTACGTACGTGCATATTTGACCAGATAAACCACGGAGGCGTCTGCGTCTCGGGGGGCAACCAATCGTTCAGCTCTTCGGCCATGCTTGAGACCATACTTGGAATCGAGCAGTTCTGTCTCCACAATGGTCATTATGCCCCGAAAAAGATGTTAGAAATAAGGCTGTGCAGATGCTCGGTTGGCAACTATATTTATTTGTAGGTAAGTGTGAGCGCTTTGAACGTGCCGTCCATTGGAGTGGGTACTATGACCGAGATCTCAATGATCATGAGAACGCCCAATCTTCCTATGTTTCGCGACTATATTTCCTGTGCACTTGAATTCTCCTGTCGAAAGCGATAGTAGCGACAGCGACGATAAGGATGAGGAGGAGGAGGAGGAGGACGACGACGAGGACGACGACAAGGACAAGGACGACTATAACAATAACGACGACGACGACGACGACGGCAAAGTGATTAGAGTAAAGCCACATGGAGGAAAAGTACAGGAAAACCAGGCGGTCTCATCATCATAGAACACAGGGCTTTCAGTTGTTCCAGTCGAGGAGTTCGGCCCATTTCGGGTCAGGCGAGATCTAATGAGCACATGTTTCCATTGCCACCGGTTTGGGTTGGAAGAACATGCACGTTTTTGCATGCATATTGTTTGCAAAAGTACCTGGCAGATGCTGCAGTTATATGCAAATACTCAGGCAGATTAAAGAATCATGCCTCAAACCTGTCAGCGAACAATGCCCGTCTGTTGAACAGCTAGGGTGGCGCCTGATCGGTTGCCGTTTTCAGCACTGGCAGCTTCCAATGTAAGTACGCGAGCATAGCATGAGCCCCAACTCAGCTACATCACATACTTCAAAAAAAGACGAAGCTTGACGTCCAATCGACCGGAAGTATTTCTTTGGAAGAAAATCTGATCAAACTTAGCCAAGACGTATACGCAAGTACCCTCGATCTCATTGTCACAAAGACCCAAACGGCCCCAGACACCTTCACGTAAGCTGATGACATTACATGCCCTGGTCAACAGCCATCCGAAGTTTTGTGTGACCTTTGCGTGCAATAACGGGGTGGATATGTGGCCCAAATTGGCTCGTGCGACGTGTGCCACTGAAGAGATACGCAGCAGTGTGTATCGCTGATGAACGGAAGGATTAACGGATAAGCCCGCGTTCATAGCCTCGGAGGATGGTTGATGCTTCGAGGCCGTGCGACTTTGCATTCAGCCGCATGAACACCTTCCAGAAGGAATACGGGAAGCTGAAGCCGAACCAGCCTGTTTGACCCTCATTCTACCGGTTCGGTGTGTACAGCTTATATCAAAATTCTCAAGAGAGGCCAGCCGTCGAGTATTTCCAAAAGTCCCGCGGGCTCAAGGCAGAGGAGTTGGATCCTCTCGATGTGTGCTGGTCTAGGTCAGTTTTAACACAGATGTGACTCTTGAAAACAAAAACAGATATTTGAACATGGACATGGGAGAGACGAGCACTGGTCACAAATAAATTCACTGCAAAGTGGACCGCGGTTTGAGTAGTCTAGAACAGGTTTGTTTGCGACCCGCATCAGGATGTTTGTTTATTCCCAACTCAGGGAATGTTTCATGGAGATTCCATCGGGGATTCTAGTGGAACCCAGACGAGCGGTTCAACGGGGTCTCCCACGGGGATTAAATACACGGCGGATGAGCGGCCGGATGAGGAAGAAGAAACAACGGCAGAGAGCGGGCCGTTTGGAAAATGATGTGATGATAGTCGGAGGGTCAAAGCGAGCAACGGGGTTCCGAGACGTCGGACAGATTGGACGGACACCGAAGGCGGAAGGAGAGTGGCAGCGAGAAAGGCAATGTCTGACCACCGGGACTACGGCAGCGCACGCAAAAAAAAAAGTTGACTGGCCGAGCGCGGAGCAAATGTTTTGGCAATGAGAATTGAAAGATGGACGACCAAGTGCTGACTTGCTAACTTGGATGCACCCCGGATTTTGGACTGGTGAGGACGAAAAAGGTTGTGTACCGGCGTCGGGGGCTGCTGGCGATGACGGAGTGATGAAGGGCGAATGGATCGATTAACTTCAGTAGCTGGGAGGAAGGCCCCTACAGAGATAGGGCTTCCGGGCTAGTTTAGCTGGAGTGCATGAAGTCTGGGGAAGAGTCTATCTAGTTGGATTTGAGTGTCTGCATGAGGTCATGTTTTTGAGATGACAGGCGCGGTTTGCTGGGTGCGAATGAGGGGAATCCAAGGTGAGGAAGGGAGTGAGTCTGAGCTCAGCGTTGTATGGTTTGTGGGTGGTGGTGGTGTGAGAGGGGTGATGCATGTCGAATGACGTCGTCACGATGGGGGTAGCGAGGGAAGAGTAAGACGGATAATGTGAGGTTGGAGGCAGCAGCACTGAGAGAGAGGATGAGGGAGGGGTCCAACACACTCAGGAAGCGACTTTGACGATGCAGCTCCCGTCATTCAATGGGAGCGGGCCGGCTCGAAATGCCGCGGCTGAAGCGTAAAATGGTCAAGCAATCAAGTCAAGCTGGTTCGGGCCTGGTGCGGATGGGATTCCGGAGGCGAGGGAAAGAGTCGGAAGAGGAGTGAGCCAGTGGCGCACTTGAGGTGAATTCCAGCTTGCCTGGTCGAACGCAGCAGGATGCAGATCTGGAAATAGGACGTTTCTCGGGCGGTGCAGTCACAGCATTGCGCGGTGGACGAGGCAGCAGCGACCAAAAAAAGCACTCATCGCCTCGTTTCCAGCAGACGACAGAGTCAGTTAGAGGTGCGCTTTTCTGGTGCAGGTGTAGTGCGGCAATGCGGGCGATCGCGATGCAGTGGTCTCAGTCACCAATAGCGACAGCAAAAGAAGAAAGAACGGCCAACGGCTGAGGTCCTGCCCTGGCCTTTGGACTCTGGAGGGAGCTGTAAGGTCTTGCATGTTCCAGGGTCCACACCTGCCGGCCTCGTCCAATCCGGACTGCGAACTGGTAACGGGATGCAAGTAGCGGGTACTTTTGCCGGGCCGGGCTCCCCTTCGTCCAGCAGGTTCCACCAGTCGCCGTGTCCGACACTTTGGCGGCCAACGGGCGCTGGCAGTGGCAGCCCAAGCAGCCTGAGGCAAGCCCAACCCCGCCATGGGCACTGGCGGCCAATGTAGTCGAAACAGGCACCAAGATGCCCTCCCGTCACCTCAGTTCCTGCTGCGCCTTGCTCGCCTCAGTTTATCTTGGGCGAGGCACGGTATGTGTAAGGTACCTACCTCCAGATGCCTTCCTTGCCTGCCTTACCTCACCTAAGAACATAAGCTAGGGACGTAGGTACCTAACAAGGTAGGTAAGCTACAGTACCTAAGCAGAGACTAATGCTGCAGTGACACCCGACGTCAAGTTCTTAGGACGCTCCAAACGTGACTTTTGCAGTGAAGCCACTCCAGCAGAGAGAGGCATCCCCAGCCTCCATCTCCACACCCTCACCCTCCATCGCGAAGCAGGGAGCCATCTTGTTGGATGAGGTTGAAAAAAACAGGAAGAAGACGACTTGTCGATGGGAGACATCTGTAACTGACTTATTTGGGAGCATCCCTTCCCTCACGTGTCTTGTTGACTACACCTGCACCCGGCACTTGCTTTAAGCATCTTGTATCTTGTTCTTCTCTTAGGTATTCAAGTGTGATTGTATAAGACATCCCCAGCAGCAGCAATACCCCAAAAAGCCTCACCTGCCACCCTCATCACCACCTCTGGGGCACCAGTGACCTCCATCACACCTCACCGTCTTTCGTCTCCTTTTCTATTCGTGCCGCATTCTCCAACTCTGAATCACCCATCCCCCTCTTCCGACACCCGCCCTTCGCCCCGACAACCTCGTCACATTCCTCCTCTGTCTTCTCGTCCTCGCCCTCTCTCGCCATCATCCATCGCATCTCCCCTCTTGTTTCACAAACATCACGAGCCTCCTCTCTATCCATCTCACCCAGGACTCTCTGTCAGGTCTCCGTCTCCAGCAGCGCCAGTGTCAGCCCCTGGTCCGGCGCACCCACCCTGCTGCACCACACTGAGCGCACCGCTGAGCGAACCGCACCACACCCGCACCATCCCTCCACAGGTACTGGTACTGGTACAGGTACCCACAACGCCCTCTGCAGGTCACGAACCACCCGGCCTCACCTGCACCACCCCATTCTCCGTCCTGAGTCCTGTCCGTCGCCTTCAACTCCTCAAGACCCCCCCGGCAAACCGACCGACCACCTTCGTCACCAGATTTACGGAACCCCGCTATTTTTTACCTACTGCCTGCCCACATCTGTGACTACACAACCTGCCTGCTGGTAAACCAAAGCCACAACCTACACCACCACACCTCACGAGGTTCGCATCACGTCCGCAACTTCTTCCCTCTAGCAACAACACCAAACCATCAACCCTAAGCTCGTCCGGTCTAGTCCATCCACCTGCGAACTACTTCAAAATGGCAGCCGTCGTCGAACACAGCCCCCCGTCGCATTCCCCTCCGGGCCACAACGCGAAGCGACCCAAGGGTAAGTCCTCGCTCTCCCTCTCTGCCGACCGGCGCGAATCCCACGATACGCCATAAAGCTGCAAGACTGACTGGCACCTTTTGCAGGAATTCTCAAGAACTCATTCCAAAGATCTCCGCCCACCTCGCCCAGCGAAGAGCACCCTCTCACCGAGAAGGAGCTCACCATCGTCAACACCCAGTACAACGCCGGCCACCGTCGCTCCTCTTCCGCCGCCCGCCCCTCCGGCTCCCGCCGTCAGTCCAGCCACACCCCTTCCGCCCACGGCGACGACGAGCAGGACTTGGAGTCCTCCCAGCGCCTCAAGTGGGACGAGGCGAACCTGTACCTCACCGAGCAGGAGCGCTCCTCGACCATGAAGATCGATGAGCCCAAGACCCCCTACGCTAAGCACTATGACCCCACCGAGGACCCCTCCGAAGACGAAGAGATGGAAGACCCGACCGTTGAGCGCAAGCCTCGCACGGCTCGTGCTGGCCCTGGCGTGGAAGATGATATCCCTGTCATGTCGCTTGGCGAGCCGGAAGAGGCGGTCCCGGAGAGCGAGTCGTCAAAAGAAAAGGCCCTCAAGGCCGTCCACGTCGAGGAAACCGACTCCTCTCACGGCGGCGACGAGGATGACCTGGCTGGTCTCTCCCCCGAGGAGAGGGAGAAGCACCATCGTTTCGAGCAGTTGCGCAAGAAGCACTACGAAATGAAGGATGTGGCCCACTTGTTGGGCCACCCCGAGGAACTACCCGAAGAGGAGGACGACGAAGACGCCGCCAACCCGCCTCCTGTCCCTGCTCTTCCACGACCTAGCCAGGCCACCAACGGCCAGGCCTGAGCCCCAACACCATCAGCGACCATCACGAATGAGTCTTGGCCGGCTGGCTAGGCGGCTCGCCCACCGGTTGGCCGCGTCCGCGTCAAGGAGAGAAGACATGTCACGGGAGACGTATTACGAGCATTTTAACGGATTGTTTACCTGTTTTGGGGTTGAGGTGGAGATCAGCATCCGGCAACGGCGTGGTGACACACGAAGGAGTTCTGGGTGGTTATCACGAATGGTTTTTGCGGCGTTCCGGGGCCTTCGTGTCTGTAATCGTCGCGATTCACCAGTATTGCAGCAGGCGCCCCTCCGTCCTGGTGGTCAGGTGGTTGCAACACCGCCGCCAGGCAGGAGCGTATCAGCACGAGTAGGTAGGCTTTTTGCTTCCGCCACCAAATGGCATATTCAATAGAGTCTCCATTGCCTAATAACTCCGGTCCCGTTCGTGAAATAATAATTGTGACATTCTGCTGGCCGCCTTATGGGGCGTGTCCATTGGTATCCTGCGCCCGCGATGCTTGGTATTCCCATCATTCTCTCTAGTCTAGCAATCATCATCTCTCAGAGCATGCCCTTGCGCGCAAGCTCGACCTTCCTTGCCGCCTCGCCGGCAGCAAAGCCGCCCCTCGAAACGCAGATGCGGTTGCCCTCGGCGAGCTCGACTTTGTCTTGGTTCGCGGGCCAGGGGCAGGGGCAGTGGTGCGGGAAGTGGACGCAGGCGAGGGTGTCAGGGCAGAGGTAGTGTTCGCAGTAGGCTGCAAGGCGTCAGCTTTTTGATCCTTATGATGACCAACCTCCTGGCAAGTACTCACATCCGTCATATCGTTGCTGGTATTGCGACGGGTCGCTGGGGACGTTCTGGGGCTGCTGTTGCTGCTGCTGGCCGCCGAACATTTGCTCAAAGAAGCCAAACTGGGCCTGCGTCGAGCTAATCAGGGAGAGCAAGACGATGGGGAGGGAGGCGAGGAGGCGCATCGTGGGCAATTGGTTTCAGAAGTAATTCAGCGATTGTAAACGTGTTGTTCAGTGATTTTAGGTGAGCGATTGTTTGTGCATTCGTTGTCGTTGTTCCTGCATCTGAATGCGCCCAGCTGTCCAAAAGACACATGCACCAAGAACACCCACCACCACGAACGGTCATCCTTATCGTTATCGCACCCCGCTGACTCAGCCGGAAAATATCCTCAGGCGATCTCCCTGGCCAAACTCCAAGGTCCATCGAAATTCACGATCGCCGAGCCCGCCAATCCATCCGACGACGAATGGGCAGCCCGTCCTCGAAACACACCTCATGCGTCTACTCCAAATGCAGCAGCCCTTGAGGGCCGCTGCCGCCGGTCTGCTCCGGCCGACGGTCCTCACGACCCAGCAGCCCTCCGTCGTGGCTGCCGCGAATGCCCTCGTTGCGGGACGCCGATACGCCTCCGTCAAGTCGCAGGGTGCCTACAAGCTGCAGCCCAAGAGGACGATACCGAAGAAGCTGGGAGCGAAGCGGACGGGTGGTATGTGGTCAATCAAACAACACATGGTCTCTCGGAGGAGAGGGGGAGACTGCCATTGAGCTATGGTTGGGTTTTGCTAACCTTTCCCCACACATCACAGACCAGTATGTCATCCCCGGCAACATCATCTACAAGCAGCGCGGCTCCCTCTGGTGGCCCGGCGAGAACTGCATCATGGGCCGCGACCACACGATCCACGCCATGGCCTCGGGCTACGTAAAGTACTACCGCGACCCGGCGCGGCACCCGGACCGAAAGTACATTGGCGTCGTCTTCAACAAGGACGACGTGCTGCCGTACCCGACGCACGCCGAGCGCAAGCGCAAGCTCAACATGGCGGCGCACCCGATCTCGAAGCCGGTCGAGACGCCCGCCGTGTCGGCCTCGGGCATCCCGACGCAGGTCGTGCGCGCGGCGCCGCGCACGACCAAGGGCGTGGCGACGCAGCCGCCGCGCGTGCTGAAGCTGCGCGACGACTACTCGTACCGCGAGGACAACTGGCGCATCGGGCGGCTGGTGAAGCTCAAGACGGGCGGCATGAGCCGCAAGGCGCGGTTCAGGCATAAGCGGTGGGCCAAGGAGAAGATGATAACGGGGCAGAGGGCGGCGGCGGCCAAGTTTGCGGACATGGAGATTGACGAGTGGACTATTGCGGCGAGCAAGAGGCTCCAGGAGCAGAGGAACGCTGCCAGCCGGGCCAAGAACGTCAAGGCGAAGCAGAAGGCGGCTAAGAAGGCGGCCAAGGCCCAGAAGGCGAAGCGGTGAGGTGGTAGGGCGGCTGCGTCTGGTGAGGGGATGAGGGGGGATGTGTATCACGGCGTCAGATTTTGAGAGGTCTTTGGCGTAGATGTAGAATATCTTGTACAAATCATACGGACCATCCATGACATCGCGTGTGTATGCTGTGTGCAGCGGAGCGGCTACCTTGATAGCTCACCTCACTTCCCAAGGCTGCTAACAATGGGCGAACAGACCGTCGCAAGATGGCCTAGAGGTGGATTGCATGTCTGGTTTCGGCAGAGGTGGATGGTTCGAGTTCTTGAGGTGGCCCTACATATCTCCGGTCGTAGTCCATTGTTTTTTCTTTCATCTTTTTGATCTCACCTGAGGTTCGTGCCATTCAAGCGATACGTCCGATGAGAGTAACCCCCTTTTTATATAACAGACATGAGCGAATGATGAATTTGTGTGAATATCTTTGGTAACACTACAAAATCACCTTTCTGAATTGGAAGGAGTCTCAACCATTAGATTCACTCTTCCTTCCCTCTTATATGAGCTTGGAGATATTCCAAGTGGGGGTGGGCCTTCCTTGTACCTCACTGCTGGATTCCCGCGGCAGGTACATGCCCTGGTCCCTGCCACTTTAGGCGCGTCCAGTGTCCCGGTCGCGTCTCCCACGAAACGTCGGTCTTCACTTCATTCCTACAATTCAACATCCAGATTCGCTCATAAAGATCGCCATCAACGGCCGGGAGGGGCCGATTTCGACGTAGACTTGACAAGCCCCCGATATTGAGGCCTCTGCGACTTTGAGGGCGCTCCAGCCTGTCACCAGGAACGTCGTCAGCTCCCACAGCAGGTACCCCGTGCAGCGCATGCTCGCTCAAACGGGCATCGCATTCGCGACGACAAAGAAGTCTGATGATGGCATCCAACCCCCCACGCATCACACCCATACCAATCCCTGTACCCGGCCATGCACCGTCGCCTCAGTCGGCTCCCGCCACGTCGGCGACGAAGGTGCTGAGCACGTCCGCCGCCAACCGCAATGCTTCACCATCGTCGGTTTCCAGCGCAGGAGAGGACCCCGCGAGGAAGATGAAGCGTACTAGTGCCAAGGTGAACGTCAAGCCCGGCGCATTCCTGCAGGCGCCTCCGTGGGCAGCTTCACTTCTGAGCTCTAAGCCCTCCACTTCAACTTCGACCGGACCAGTAGCACCGCCAGTGGGAGCCAACTCCGTTTCTGGAGCCGGGGTGCCCAACCTTGCCCCGCCAACTCAGGATCACAGCATGGTCCTGGACAGCCCGGAGCCCATTCGTATTGAGAGCGATATCCTGCCTCCAGATCCCGAAGGCCCCGTGAAGTCGGAATTCAGCCCCGAGGATACGCCGTTGGAGGATGTAACACCTGCCAAGCCGTCACTGTCGATGAGCTCCAAGATCCAGGCATTGCAGCAGTCGTGGCAGGCCAAGTCGGCTTCAGGGGATTCTCAGGAATCGGAAGAGATTATTAGACGGGCGTCAAGTGGCGGTGAGTGCGCCTTTTGATGATTAGAGGCGAAGCATGGCATAGCTGAGGAGGCCAAAATCTGCTTGGATGAACCTCGAAGAGTACGAGCTAACATGCACTGCAGATGTTCAGCCTTCAAGGCAGGCTCTCACTTGGACTCAGGCGTTACAGGCGAAGACTCAGGCGTTACAAGCGAAGAGAAAACAGTCATCGGGGTTGCCGGGCGGTGATCTCAAACGCAGGCTGACAGAGAATGGCGTGGGGTCTGGATCGGAGGATGCCACGGCCAACCATGGGTCGAGTCGACAGTCGATGCCAACATCAACGTCTGCTGAAGCCTCTAATGCGCCAACGTCTAGCGCCAAACCGGGCTTCATCCCCATCAAAAGGCAACCTCTATCTGTATCATCCTCAGACGACAATGGCATGCTTGACGATGACTCAACCGACTCCGACTCCGACTCTGAACTCGATGCTCCAGTTCAGCCTGACAGCGGAAACGCTGACCCTCCACCTCGCCCGTTCAAAATGCTACCAACAGTCAGTGAAAACCAAGGCCTTCCTGTTCAAACACATACTAACGGTACTTGTCTTGTTAGTTGTACGGGCGACCCGAAACTGAGCTTACAACTACCAACGACGGCGACCGTCTGTATTGCCAATGGAAGGGGGAGAATACCCCGCTGGAAGCGTCATGCGGCGCGCTTTTGCCCACTAGATACACGTTGCACTCCGATCCCGAGTATCCATTCATCTGCCCCGATCGTGTGTGTCGCTCCATCTTCAGGTCGATTCAGGGGCTCGGAAAGCACTTTGGAGTAAGTTGCGAGGTTATATGCATAGGGCCACCTTGGCTGACAACATGATAGGCAAGGCATCGAAACACCATATACAACGACAACTTAGATGGCACCGTCTCAGCGGTCAGCTTCTTTGACATTCCGGGAACAACACGAGCCTCGCCAGTCATAGTTTCTAGAAACCCGCTCCAGGGTGACGAGCCGCCGATGCCAGAACCTCAGACCACAATCTATAAGCCATATGGTTCAAAGGTTCAAGCGATGTCAACAGCAGCGGGGATGCCTCAATCTCAGCCTCAGTCACAACCCCTATCACAACCCCAACAACAAATGACAGCGACCAGGACGACACGCTCGCACGCTTCCCCGTACTCGACCCTACCAAACCACCACGAGCCGGCACAACCGTCTTATTTCCAATCTGCGAAACCCATGACCTTGTTGGAGTACCTCACCTCTCAACTTTCACCGACTTACAGACTCCCGGCTGAGAGACCAGACTTCAAGGCCCTATTGAAACTGCCAATGGCGAGGCATTTCCCTCCCCAGTGGACGATGAAGCACTCGGGCGTTGGGAACTTGGCGCCCCTGACTGCACTTTCGCTCCTGGTGTTTTTGACTGGCGATCCTGCGCCTGTGTCATGCTCAACATGCAATGGGCCAGATCACGACGCGTTCGAAAACACTCTTCGCCCATGTATCGTCCTTTCCAGCCGAGCACCTTCATGGCTGAAGGAGACCGTCAACGAAGCATGCGCATCCTGCCAATGGCGATGTAATTACAAAAGGCAGAAAGTCCAATGCGATTTCCTGCCTGCCTTCAGAGGGCGGACTTTGACTGCTTTACCATCCCCTGCGCCTGCCGCAACTCCTACTCCTGTTCCGCCTCCCGTCATCCCTCCCTCGTCTGCACCGCCATCCTACAACCTGCCCAAAAACGCCAAATTTCCTTATGGAGGACCTGCTGGTGGTAATCAATCCGGCGTCAACTCACCAGCTCTTCGTTCACCTGCCATCACCACACCTCCCGTCGGCACAACGCCTGTAAATACATCAAGACCAAGCAGCCCGCCGAGACGAGTCACAAGGCATTCGGCGGCTACAAAGACCGCTTCCGACTCTGCCCCTGCGTCGACCTCTTCTACCAAGCCGGCCGCCGCCGCTATCGTCCCGGCCACTGCAGGTCAGACAATGCCAGCAGAGCTCTTAGATATGGAAGAGTGGGAAATCGCTCCTGGACGTGTTCGCGATGATCAGAGCCAGGAACCGACGAGTAAGTCAAACGACTAGCCGTCACGCCATGCATCTTTCACTGACATACTCGCAGACGTTGCTTTCTCGAATGCATACCTTACATCCAACCAAGCCGTCAGCGTCTCAGAAGATATTGCTTTTAACGTCATCGTTATCAAGCCTGGCGGCTCTCATCGTTGGACCGATGAGGAGGACAAGGTGCGCATATGCTCTGTCGCCGTTGGCAAAGTCAAGGTGAAGCTGGACATGACAGACCCTTTTCAGATTGGGCCGAACGGCATGTTCAAGCTGAAGCCTGGCACGTCATGCTCCATCGAGAACAGGACATACATCGACGCCATCATCCACGTCACATCTGTGACGCTTTACTAGATCATCGATAAATATCACGGGGCCAGAGATATGTATTTATTTGTAAACGACATTAGCGACTCATTTTAAGACACTTGCCGGGGGGTATTCAAAGCCGGCGCAAATATATTAGACGTCATTCACCCACCAAAAGGGGCATCTTCTATTTCAATCTTACTCGGACTCTCGACGTGCCTCATCCTCCGCACATGACAGCGTTGGGCTGTTCTACACCTTCATCGCCACCTTCTCATCCGGGCCTTTCATGTCAACGTTCTCGGGCATTGTTACAGCCTCGATAACCTGGGCATCGCCGTCTTCCTCAGGTCTCACGTAGTCCCTGGGCTCCACCCACTTCTCCTCCATGATCGGCGGCGGCCAAATCTTGCATGTCACCCAGAAGGTGAAGCCCGACAGTGCAAGTCCAACCCAGTACGCAAAGTAGTAGTATCTTGTGACGCCGATCGGCGCCGAGACACCCATGTTATTGAGGAAACCGTAGAAGTTAGGGATGATGCCGATAATGTAGGCAACGTAGGCGCGGATGTTCCAGCCGTGAGTATAGTAATACGCTCCTGACTTCATCGAGGTGAAGGCGTCGGGAATGTGGATCCGGCCGCGGCCGATGAGGTAGTAGTTCACAAGCAGCACGCCGGTGATGGCAGACAGGAAAGTCTGGTAGGACGAGAGGAAGGAGACAAACACCGACGCGGAGCCCTGCGCTTGTTAACATCTTAGGATTCGTTGAGACAGTCGGCACAAGACTTACCAGCAGAAACCAGGGGTTGATTGCAAACGAGATGACGGCACAAACGAAGAAGCCCCTCCTGACGGTAATGTACTTGGGGAACAATGCCGCGATATCGTTGCCGGCTGGCAGCGAGTTCTCGAAAATCGAGCTAAAGATACAGCAGTACGCAAAGCATCCTGCAATGAAGAAGCAGCCCGCGCGATTCGCGGCGGTATACTCCGCCGTCTGCAGGTTATCCAACAGTGTGACCGGATTCCACACCAGCTCCCCGAAAATCAACTCGCTGCTCGCGCACACGAGGTTTCCCACGGCGGCGACGATCAGGTTAGCCACGGGGAACCCAAAGATGTTGCCCAGGATCACGTCGTTCTTCTTCTGGGCGTACCGCTGGAAGTCCGCCGCGTTGGACGCGAAGGTCGCGCAGTTGGCCGCGCCGAGCATGAAGAACTGCACAATCAGCCACGCGCGGGTCGACCCGGTCGCGGTGCCGCTGCGGCGGACGACGGGCCCGAGGCCACCGGCCTTGGTCGCCGTCCACGCGAGCATCGCGACGGCGGAGACGATGAAGACGGCGAGCTTGGCGTAGACGAGGCCGCGCATCTTGGGGACAGGGATGACGAGGAAGACGCAGGTGATGAGCCAGAAGATGACGAAGCCGATCATGCCCGCGGTGGTGAGCGCGCTGCCCTCGCCCATGGTGTTGGGTATGTCCGCGATGCCGGGGATGATGGCGTGCAGCATGACGTAGATGCACTGACCGCCCTGGACGGCGTTGACGCCGTTCCAGACGATGGCCATGACTGCGCGGTTAAAGGTAGGCCACCAGGCGCCGTAGACGCCGAAGGCGGTACGGCAGAAGACGGGGAAGCCGACGTGGTAGGTGGCGCCGGGGCGGCCATTGAGGGTGATGATGACGGCGATGAGGCACTGGCCGCCGAAGGCGCAGCCGAGGGACTCCCACATGGAGAGGCCGAGGGCCTGGGCGGTCGAGGAGGCGTACCAGTTCGAGACGGTGGCGACGGCGGAGAACCAGAAGGTGAAGTAGGTCCATTGTGTCCAGGTGCGGTCGGCGAGCTTGAGGGGCCGGATGTCGTCGTTGTTGAGGAGGGCGTCGCGGCCCTCGAGGGTGCCGGCGGCTGGGGGAACCCGGAGGCGGTTGAGCAGGCCCATCTTGGTCAACTCGTTTCTTGAAGTTCAATCGGGTGTCCGAGGAGATGATCAAAGTTGCCCGCCCACCCGCTGTACGAGCAGCACGAAATTCGATGAACGTGGTGCAGGCATGACGGGAGGCAACATGTGTGCGAGAGACTTATACCAAATCATGGCGATTCAAATTCTAATCATATCAGAGTCTCTTCGTCAGCGACAATGATAAACCCAAGATACTGGGTGCCGTCGACGCGGTGGGATGTGGGGGAGATAAGCTGCCCCTGCAAGGATTACACGCAGCGGCATGATCAGCGCGACTCGTAGGACGGCCCTCTCCGGGGCGCACGTGGTGTTCGCGATGGTTTTGAGAGGCGAATGGGGTGTAACTGATAGGTGCAAGCCGAATTTCACTCATAAAAGTACGATACATTCAGCACGGGGTCTTGGAACAGCAGCAAATTGTCCATAGCTTCTGCGCAGAAGCTCGAGATGGGCCGCTGAACAAGCCCCGGGAAAGCAACCCCTGGCGCTCCGAAAACCGGGGTGAACCCCGTACCCCACACGGCCGTTGTCGGCCCAGACCTCCGACCGATAAGGGACCGACAAACCGCATCGCACGCCATTATCTACGCCTATCGTGCAATCTCCCGCAGCAGCTGCAGGTTAGGCGAGATCCGGTGAACTCCGCCGGAAATCGAAATAAAGCCTCATTGAGGCTTTACCACAATTGAGGCTCAAGCTGTTCGTCGATCTGAGCCAGGGACCCTGTCGTCGGAGTTGAACGGCCTCATCCGTTCATCTGAAGCTATTTATCCGTGCGCCAGAACCTCGCAATCAATCTTATCGCCACTGAAAGATGATGAGACCATAGAAGAAGGAACCTCACCACCACACATCCGCAACTCAGCACACAGTTTGCCAACACAGGCATTTTTAGAAACTATACCGCCAACATGTCGACCACGGTGACGGAAACAGCGCCGGAGAGCTACAAGCTCGAGCTCATGTCCGCCTACGGCCCCGTTTACCGCGACGTCCTCCGCACCCCGCCGCGGGACTGCTCCCCCTCCGAGGTCCCCGTCATCGACCTCTCCCACATCCGCGGCGCCAAGGCGGACCGCAAGGCCCTGGCCGCCACCATCCGCGACGCCGCCGAGAACACGGGCTTCTTCTACATCAAGAACCACGGCATCCCCAAGGCGACGATCGACGCGGCCTACGCGCAGGCGCAGGCCTTCTTCTCGCAGCCCAACGAGCAAAAAGCCCTCGTCGCGCAGAAGAAGTCAAAGTTCTTCAACGGCTGGACAGAGAAGCGCGCCGCGCAGATCTCGCCGACCGAGACCAAGGACCACCGCGAGGGCTTCAGCTTCCGGTACGACCCGGCGCACGACCCGGAGCCCAAGAACCCGCAGGCCGTACCGGAGGCGGTGAAGCCGTGGATGAAGCACGAGGACTTCGTATGGGAGGGCACAAGCCACCTGCCCGGGTTCAAGGAGGACATGGTCACGTACTGGCGGGAGTGTCTGACGCTGGCGCGGAGCATGATCCGCATCTTTGCGCTGGCACTGGACGTGCCGGAGAGCTACTTTGACGACGTCATCACGTACCCCGGCAGCGACAGCGTGTGCAACTACTACCCGAAGAACACGGAGCCGCAGGACGCGACGATCGACGTCGGGCTCGGGGCGCATACGGATCTGCAGTGCTTCACGCTGCTGTGGCAGGACAGCGTGGGCGGGCTGCAGGTGTTGACCAAGGACGGGCAGTGGATCAAGGTGCCGCCTGTGCCGGACACGTTTGTGATCAACATTGGCGATTTCCTGCAGAGGCTGTCGAATGACCGGTTCAAGTCGACGGTGCACCGAGTGTTCAACTACGCGCCGACGGATCGGTACTCGATGCCGTTCTTTTTCGGCTTCAACCACAACGAGCAGTGCGCCGTGCTGTCTACGTGCACAGATGAGAAGAATCCGCCCAAATATGAGCCGATCAGCTGCGGAGAGGTAAGTTGAAGCTGATATTCACATGATTCGTGTATGCTGACTACTGGTAGTGGTGTCGTTTGAGATTTGAGAGAACGTTTGAGTTTTCGAGGAGGAAGAATCAACTCGAAGGCAAGGCGGAAAATGTTGCGCCGTATTGAGAGACACAGGGCAAATAACAGTCTTTCTCAAAAGTTTGATTCATTAGATCCCAAACAGCGTTTGAAATAGAGTAACATTATGAGCCCCTTGGTTCAAGTGGACTTCCAAGTCTTTGGTGCACGACCCAAAAGCAGTCCTCAGGTGCAATAGTAAAACCCGTTGCAAGCCCGTTTACACTGGCTGAACTCCGAAATGATGCTGCAGTCCCCGCTTGAATTACACTGCATCCCTCCCGGATGACATTTTGAGCTTGATGAGGTGGTGGTGTGCGCGGCCGCGGTAGTGGTGGTTGTGGTAGTCCCGTGGCTGTTGCCTGTGCCGCTGCCGTTATTGCTCGTGGAGGTACTGCTCCCAGACGGCGACGAATGTTGAGTAGAGACTCCAGCGGCAACACCAATGACAATGATAATGACGATGGCGAGGAACACAACGCCGAATATGATGGCTTTCTGGCGATTACGCCGGAGCCAGGAGCCAGTCGGAGATCCTTCAGCCTCCCCAGGGCTTTCGTTTGCTGAAAGGTATGACTGTAGCTCTGTTACACCAACAGTTTCGGTTTTGACCGGAAGGCCATGATTTTGTTGCTGCTGTATTGAAGGGAAAGCTTCGGGGCTGACTTGCTGAGGAGTTACTGGTTGGGGGGCTGCCATGGCTGTGGTATAGATCTGGGCGCTGGATATCAAAACCTGGGAAAATGAGTAGTGTGAGATTGCCGTGAGACAAAGCTGCCATGGAGCGTCTTTAAATGCCTTGGCAGGCCCAAGATCTTGGACCAGGCTGAATTTGGCTTTACGATGGTGGTGGCATTCTCTTTGTTGCCATCAGAGCTCATCACAGTTTAGCGTAACGCCTCCCATCAGCAGATCGACTTACAAGCCGTGAAAGACTCTGTTATTCATCGCCAAAATTGCGCTATGTTTTCAGCTGAACGCCTCAAGGTCTCCTGCAGCCTTTCAGCTAAAAGGAAACATCGCCGTAACGGCCACAGAAGGCATATTTTGGCTTCTTGATGATTATTGAATATGACCAGACGGGTGCAGCACATGTTTCAGACGTTCAAACAGCCATGAATTTGAAAATCTCTAGTGGTAAGATAAAGAATTAGAAACTACATACAGAAGAACGGAAAAGCACTTTATGTGTTGGTTGAAAAGAAATCTGACAGATGGCCCCAGAAGGCTAGGCTCAATGGAGGCGCTTGAAGCGCAGAGACCGTCTAGCCTTACAAGCCGACTTAGCCGGTCGAGAAGCAGAAGAAGCAACATTGACTACATGGGCAGCAGCAGAAAAGAAAGCAGAAGAAGTCGGTACAGCAGTGGGTGTCGGCGCCAAGCCAGAAGTTCCATTGACGCTCGACGGCAGGGTTGGGAAAGCGGTGGAAGCGGATGATGCAGGAGGACTACTGCTGTGAAGCTTGCCGACACCAGCATTGGCCTTCACAAACTCCGGGACCTCGGAGACCTTCATTGGCTTCAGGAGAGACTCCGACGCATACTTAAGCTTATCGATAGCAACGGTCTTGTTCAGGGGAAGCAGTTCGCCAGACTGACCACCAACACTGTTAGGCTCGCAGGGGCGCCCCATAGGACCCTGACAGGCCGCGGCATCCGCGGAGGTCTCCACAACGAAGATCTCTCCGGCGCTGTTGTAGGTGCTGGGCTCGATGGGTCGAGAGACATTTTCGAAGTGGTTGCCCTCGACAAGGGCTTGGATGTGGTCTCCGATAGCAAAGGCGTGGTCATCGTCTCCCTCCCACAGATTGTTGACGCCCTGGAACATGACTTCCTCGGATCCTCCGACGTTTGGCGCGCGTCCAGAGACGTGGTGAAGGTAATTATAGGCGAAAGTGTAGTTCGCCTTCGAGGCGATGAGGAGGGCGTTGTAGTAGTGTTGCTGGTTGCAGGAGAAGTCCATCTTGCCGTCGAACTCGTGGTGGGAGATGGTGACAGCACCGGCGGGGCCCCATCCGGAGACGATGTGCTGGCGGCCAATCAAGGAAGTCTTGCAGTGGTCGATCCAGATCTTGTCGGTGCCGTCCAGGGAGATGGCGTCGCCACCCCAGATGTACTCGGGGTCTGCGAATGAGCCTCGTCAGCGTCCTTGATCCTTGGGCACGACAATGCATAAGCGGGACTACTTACTCAACTCCGTGATGTGTATGTTCTGAAAGATGACGTTGCTGACGTCGTGAGACATGCGGAACCCCTTGCCTCGAATGATACCGCTTTCTCCAACACCGACGATGCTTTTATTGCTGGCAACATAGATCGGCCGAGTAGGTGCGTTCCAGTAGGTGCAGGAGATCTTCTGCATGTCGCCACAGTCGTCGCCAATGTACACCTGGCCATGTCGGCTAGAGTCCTTGCATTGGTAGGACTTCTCGTCTCGGCAGCATGTTCCGTCTGTGGATCCTTCGGTCTCGAGGAAGTCGAACAAACGATCAATCATGATAGTACGGGGCTGACTATCAGTGAGCCATTCGAAAAGCCTTGAAACCGAGTCAACCTAGCAAAACATCTCTCTCCTGAGCATTTACTTACTCCTCATTGCTCGATGGAACTTGGGGTTTCGCATCGCCACCACCTGTGGTGCCGGTTGCAAAGCCAAATGCCTCTCCGGTGACTTGCGCAGCTACCTTGCCCGCAGCAGCCGCTGCAACAATAGAAAGAAAGAATGACTTCATGTTGGAATCAAAAGAGTGGCAGTGAATGAACGTGAGGATCCGCGAAGGACCAAAAGGAGTGGACTGAAGAGATGTATAACCAAAAGAGCATGGAATTGGATTCCATTGCGTTACAAATGGATTTAACACCGTGATCCTTCAACGCGGAAGTTCTTGTAGGCTGGGCTGGACCATCTGTACAATAAGATGAACGGATCGTATAGAGTGGGGTTTTGTAGACCGATTTGGTGTAGATGTTCCGCGCTTTTCTGCTTAAGGTCAACACAGCAGGGCTCAAAGTCCTTACTGAATCTCGGGTGGCCGTTTGTGACCATCCGCGGCTCGAATGTCCGACAGCTAGTCAGCCAACACAGCAAACAATGACTACCGATATCCCTTGATCTGCTTATACTGCATACGAAGTCTTCCCAAATAGATGTGTCTTAAGTATTTCCCTAATAAAATGTCAAGCATCTATGGGTTGAAGAAGGGCACGTTCCTTTCTTGTGGAGCCGGGCGGCAGTTCTCTTACCCGCTTCGTACCTTTCTTCTCGATTTCCTCCTTCAAACGGGCCAGGGAAACACACTGCTCCTACTGCTCCCGTTGTCTTTACCGTTGCTTTAGTCATCCTCATTGCCTCTGTTGTCGTCTCTCATCCCTGGAGTCAATTCGCCCAGTGGCCAACGACACCGAGAGCATTATAGCCAGTAATATGCTACTCAGCGACCCTTTCGAGGTACCGAGTTCTACAGGATCCTTCAACGCTTTTAACACATACAAGGGTCGAAGGTGAAGGTTTGTTCGAGATGAATGCCGACCACTTGTGGCACAGTCGTAGAAAATCATTCTCTTGCGAGATAAGTCTGAGACTATGGCACATGTAAACAGGAAATTTGGCAAAAGAATGCTTCGATTCAGAGTTATATATGAGTGCGAGTGTATGAAATGAGTGTGTTAGGGGCTTCTTGGATACAAAGACCAGAAGCCTTCAGAACAAATTGTTTCTAGTCAAAAATTGCATGAATAAACAATGGAGCCATTTCATCTTCCAAACCAAATTTCACTCAGATACCGGTCTGAGGGCACTTTCATGAACAGCGATTGGCAAATTTATTGCAACAGGTCTTTACTGGCCCTTACCCTTGCACTTGCGCCACTGAACATAGTACTTCTGGGTAACCTTAAGATCGTTGGAATCGACCTTGAGTAGAGTTCGAGTAAGCTTTGAAGTAGAAAAGTAGCATGTCACAGACTTACAGTCATGAGGGAAGCCTTTGTGCTGCTCAGAGGATTGAGTTCGATGGCAGTCTTGATGTTGAGCATGCCTTCCGTGCCACAAGGAGACCAAACGATCGACTCCAGGTTGAACTTGTCGGTCTTGGTGTAGTCGTCGTTGATCGGGCCCTTGAAGGACAAAGTTCGATGGGCCTTATGAAAGGTAAGCATCCATTGTCAGCGATTGATGGGGAAAGAATCAATAGACTCACTGTCTTCTCATCTCCAGAGAAGTAGTAGGTCGCCTTGCAGTAGCCCTCGACGCCCTTGGCGAGGTTGACGTGGCCTCGCACTGTGGACTGGAAGATGGAGAATCTGTACTGGAAATTAGTACGTGGCAGGATCTCATTGGGGGCAATTTAGGTCATTTGCAGCAAATCGGCTTGCTACTTACTGGTATCCTTGAGGATAGTGCATCTTGACATTGAGTTGACAAGCCTTGCGGTGCTCGACAGGCTTGATATCGGGACCAGACTGGACGTTGTACTGATCGAACATGAGGGTCACAATATCGCGGGCGTCACTGAAAGACTTGGCCACGCTCCCTGCGGGGCATCCAGAGCCACCGTAGTTCACGTCGACGAGCCTCACCTGGTCAAAGGGAGGAGTGTCACCTCCCATGGGAATTGCGGCAACGAGGCCCAGGGCAAAGGGGATGAGAGCGGCGACACGCATTGTAAGCTTCAGTGAAGTCGGTCTGTGAGATAGTTCTTAGGTAGTGTGAATGAGAGTGTCTGGGGGACGAGTAGGAGATTTAACTTGCCATGGTCGAGGAATCATCGTCATTTTATAATGTGGCCAAATTCCATCAAAAGACACAAGACGAAATAGACTGATGCGCTTCCAGCTTATGACTTATGAGACACTCTAAATTGCCACCGCCATTTATTGTGGACTATGATCCAGCCTACGATAGACCCCATTCTTGCCAAGCTCGTATCTGGAGGCTTTTGCTGAGTGAACCATTGTCAAGTGTTTACTGAATCGGTCTGTCATCACTCCGGACTCGTAGAACGCTGACACACACTGTATGGGAAACAGCGGTGACATTTTTCGATAGCTACTATAGTACGATCCGTCGGATCTCAAGGCTGAAGGGGCTTGCATGTAGCTGACGATAAAGGGCTGTCTGGAATGTGTTCTACAAGATCGCATGTTCTATTCCACCTGGAATATGCTTTACACCTGGCCGACTCTACCGTTTCACTACTCCTTTAATTTGGGGTCAACTTTGAAACCTTCTCGCAGAGGCATATCTCAAGTAATTGGCCAGACACCGAGAGACTCACATACTCAGTCGCATATGATATCCGTCATGTGACGAGCATGATGGACTGTGTATCATGCAGCGCACTGCTATATGTTCGAGTATTCCTACTGTTCTTTCTCAAGAGAAGAACGTCGTATATGTGAAATGTCGAACAAAACGAGGCCAATGTGGTATCTGGATGTCGATACCCGCGAGCTAATCTTTGCCTCTCATAGCTGTCCAGTCACTAATATCCAATGGGGGAGGCACAAGCGAGAACCGACCCTAGGAAACATGAGCCTAGACCTTTCCAAAGCGTCCTTAGTTAGGCTGACATGTAAGCACTGCATGCAAGTACTCGGGCATTTTAAGGCTGAGTATGACAAGTGTCACTTCAAGTCAGTTGGCGACGAGCTGGGGAACAGGAAGTATGACAAGAGCTCCCCCAAGAGACTTGGCGGTCAGAATATACGCTGGCGATCACTTCACGCAAGGCGTTTCACGACAGATTTGCGCGTTTATGAGACCATTCTAGCCATGATAGCGTGGGTTGGCCCGATTCAGCTCCTGGCTGTAAGGTGCAATTCGCTGCGGTGCTGGCCAGGCTAATATATGTGTAGTGTTGAGTAGGTGTTCCACCAAGCTTCGTGATATGGTTTGGCAGGACATCGATTAGGCAGTACAACAATACGCAACTGAATTCTCTTACGTTTCATTGTTCCGAGTAAGTCCGCCTCGTAATCTAAGGTAGCATGCCAGTTCTTCCGGTATACTCAACCGTCTTAGAACTTTTGAGTCATTTGAAATCGGCCGAACAACTTTAGTCGAAAATTCAACAAAACCCTGCCGGCCTGCCATTCTTTGGCTCTCATTGTCGCATTTTCAGCTCACAAGCCGACTCTAGTCAAAAGCGGCCAAAGACACACCTATTCAGGCTTCTAATTGGATGAGGATACGACCAAACACTTTTCAATTTTGAAGAAAAAACAAAGAGGAAAAAAAAAAAAAGTGAAACTCGTATACAGACAATCAAAGCCGTATCTGATGGATTTCTGCGCATGCAATCTATTGTTCTGATGCTGATGCGAGGGTGGTCTTGGTAGTGTGGAGCCGTGGGTAAGGTGAGCTTTCTAGACAGTGGATCGCCAAGAACACAGTAAAATGTCACAAAATCTTTTCACACACTGTGCTTACCAGCTGGGAAAATTTTGGTCGCCGAATCGCAAGCGACGTCTTCGAAAGCCAGACTCAAGGCAATCATACACTACAACCCTACTCGCGCAAACTCATTCAAATCATCGAGATTTTTTTTCAGATCTAAATCAAACATTTCTCATTACTGTCAATTATTTTTACCGTAAACGCCATGGGTGACGAATTCCAGACCAAGTCACAGGGTTTCCTGTCTTGGTTCAAGTCCCTGCCGGGTGCCACCTTCCACAACGACATCGAGATTGTCGACTTGAGGGGACAGAACGCCGGACGAGGAATCAGTAAGTCCAAGGACCTAGAACGTTAAATGCCTACTAACAATTCCATAGTCGCCACCAAGGACATCCCGGCAGAGACAACGCTCTTCACAATTCCCAGGAAAAGCATCATCAACGTCGAGACATCTGAGCTCCTCAAGAAGATTCCCCAAGTTTTTACTGGAAATGATGGCGATGACGAGGACATGGACAATGAGCCCTTGGACTCATGGGGCTCTCTCATTCTGGTCATGATCTACGAGTTCCTTCAAGGCACCGCCTCCCCTTGGAAGCCATACTTCGAGGTTCTCCCTGAGAAGTTTGATACCCTTATGTTTTGGGAGTCTTCCGACCTTGAGCACTTGAAGGGAAGCGCAGTGCTGTCTAAAATCGGAAAAGAGGAGGCCGACGAGATGTTCCGCTCCCGCATCCTCTCAGTCATCGCGGCCAACCCAGCCATTTTCTACCCCGAGGGCTCTTCACCGCTTAGCGAGGCGGAGCTGTTGCAACTGGCCCATCGCATGGGTAGCATAATCATGGCTTATGCCTTCGACCTGGATAATGAGGAAGAGCCTGAGCAAGAAGAGGATGACGAGTGGATTGAGGATCGTGACGGCAAGACCATGTTGGGCATGGTTCCTATGGCCGATATTTTGAACGCCGATGCCGAGTTCAACGTGAGTCTGGAAATTTTCTCTATTACTTGAGCAACCACTGATAAACTTTAGGCGCACGTAAACCACGGAGATGAAGAGCTTACGGTAACCGCACTCCGCCTCATCCCTGCGGGAGAGGAGATTCTCAACTATTACGGCCCTCACCCGAACTCCGAGCTGCTCCGCAGATACGGCTACGTCACTCCGAAGCACTCAAGATACGACGTGGTGGAGATCCCTTGGGACCTTGTGCAGGCTAGCGTCACAGAGCACTTGAAGATTGGGGACGATGTCTGGAAGCAAGTGGTACGTTGCGGTTTGATCCGCCAAATTATTGCGACTAATGAGAAAATAGGAGGAGTACGTTGACCCCGAAGAACTTGAGGATGTCTTCGTTCTCGAGCGCGAATCTGGAGAGCCTGACTCCGAAGGCCAATTCAGGACGGTCGCAGAGGTCCGTGAGATCTCCGCTGAGCTCGAGGAGCAGCTCAAGGCCGTCTTGAAGGCTATCAAGAAGATCAACGGCGATCTGATCCCCGACAAGCGCAAGAGAGACGAGGTCTTCCACGCAGTAATTGTCTCGACATTGCAGAAGATCTTGAGCCAGTATCCCACATCTACTCAAGAGGACGAGGCCCTTCTTGCTACTGGCGATCTGACCACCAGACAGAGAATGGCTGTTCAGGTGCGTTTGGGTGAGAAGAAATTGCTCAAGGAGGCTCTTGAGTTTGCTGGATCCACAGCGCCTGCGGAAGGCGATCAGGAGGAGCCTGAGAGATCTTCCAAGAAGGCGAGAACGGCATAGAGGGGCCACCAAAGCAGCACATGCAACAAATAAGGCATTTGAGTTGTGGCGAAGAAAGATACCAGCAATATCAATAGACCTTTGAATTGAAGTGCAAACTTGCACAAGCTTGATGGGGTCTACATAATTGTCTACATAATAGCGGGCTTTCAAGTAGCGAAAGCTGTCTGTCCCGTCAGAACCGTGCTCAAAACACCCTTGTCCACCAACTCGTTGATCATGTTGAACAAAACAAAGTCGCAGCCCCTCTTGGCCACAAGGTTTACAGTCACCGGCATGATCTCCTCCTGGAAGGTGACATTGCTGAAGTAGGAGACCTGACCAATGGGCACAGTGAAATCCGCATCGCCAAAGTACGAGGCCGAAGTCGATGCTGCCTGAGCGGTGGTGGGGTTGACAGGGAGGGTTGCACCCGGACCGCTGTTGAGATCCTGCTCTCTGAACGTGGGAATTCCGCCAGTTCCGACGTCGTAGACAAAAATCGACTCTGAGCAAGAATCATTTGTGGAGAAGAGAACTTTCTCGTGCCAGGCAGCTGCGTCACGGGTTCTGTTGGCCATAGCGGACTTGTAAGCGTTGTCGTCAACGGTCAGACTGTGAAAGACCCCACGGTATGGGTTATCAAGAGCCGGAAAGTTAGGGCTGTACTTCGCTAGCAAAGGCTCTGAAGTCTGACGGATCAGGTCATGAGTCCATAGAATGAACAAATCGCCGAGGACTTGCGAGATGGGCCGTCCTGTGGTCTCCTCGATCGTTTCCGTTAGGTTGAAATTCTCCACTGTGGCGCCCAAAGCTGCAGATGCGTCGCTCAAAAACTTTTGGAGAATGGTCTCGGCGGCAGCATTCTTCAGTGGCAAATGATCAATGGGGTAGAGAATACGCTTGGGAAACGTGCGGTCGTCGGGCACCGACAACTCAGGCAGGCCATTCAGCGAGGTGGCCTCGTGGAGTGACGGATCGTACCACGCCTTGGCAAAGGCCGCCCACTTGGCAGGGTCGCGAGCAAACAAGCCGGCAGTGTCGGCATTGAAAGCGTTGGTGATGACATCTTCCATGACAATCATGCCCTGCGAGGGCCTGTTGCCAAAGGTACCAGAAAACGCAGCAGGCTGTCGGACCGAGAGACCAGTATCAGTACCGACGGCAAAGTCAAGCCAGTCATACGCGGCAACGGAGCAGCCAGCTCCAGCAGAGGAGCCAGAGCAGCTCAAGAAGGTGTCGCCACGGGGATTGCGAGGATAAGAGGCGTCGTTCCAGTCCCAGGGGTTCTCGGGAGAAGCAAACTGAGCTGTCTTTTGCTTGCCCACGATGACTCCGCCGACATCGATAATCTGCTGGAGTGCTGGCGCAGTCTTGCTTGCGACATCGTTGACCGCAGCGTACGCTCGACTACCTGCAGTAGTTTGAATACCCTCCAGATCATAGATGTCCTTGACTCCGATACGCTGGCCTGCCAACGGGCTGTCATCCTCGATACTGTAAAGTCTCGAGGGGAC